ATCTTTAACCCGTGTTTGACATTTCCCGTCACCGGGTTTAAGGTTCCTAGAATTTGATGATGGAAGATTTAAAACTTTGGAAATATTTTGCAGATTTTCTACAAAATTCAACCAAACACGGACTCAGGTACAGATTTTACAGATAGAACAAGATTGTAAACCATTATTGTTAGTTCTCAAATAAAAATGTGATTACAAAAAGGGGTTACTAGGAGTATACCTCCCCCTATTTACTTGTAGAGAAATATATACTTATAGTATCTTAAAGAGACAGTAAGAGAAACTCAAAGTGTGACCCTCCATATAAAGATGTTAGATTTACAATGGTACCCTTAAACACTTTGACTAATAAAGTATCTTTTGATATCCATGATTTTTTCCCCCTATTTGCGCGCGGCATTCTGCGAAAGTGACCTTGTGCATAAGGAGCAATGGAAAATTTAACACTTTTTGAGTCAGAAAAACGACGGTTTCTTCCACATTTTAAATTAGATCAAGGTTTCAAGGGTACAGTCGTGATGGAGGGTCACTTAGAATTACACTTACAGTCCCTGTAAGACCTCTATGTTTATGAAGCACCAGATCGAAGACTCATATATATAAATAACGGGTGTGTAGAAAGTTTGTTACCAATATATATGTGCTCTCTATGTTCTCTGTGTTCCATCACGAACGTGAATGGATTTGTACTTACAGTAAGGTAATATTTCCTAATCCCTAAGAGCATAGATTAGTTAAAATAATAAATATGACCCTAGATGTCGTCATTTCTATGTTTATGTGTCTGTAGAAGACAGAGACAGTGCCTGTTCTACACCAACTACGCCTAAGTCCTTTTCGCTTCTGCCTCACGGATATTGTGATAAAAAACCCCAGTCTTTAGACTGTAAAAAGGATACTTTTTGTGATATAATGAAAAATGGATAAATTTCAGAAATAAATAGAAATAGATTAGAAATAGATTAGAAATAGATTAGATATAGATTAGATATAGATTAGAAATAGATTAGAAATAGATTAGAAATAGATTAGAAATAGATTAGAAATAGATTAGAAATAGATTAAAAATAGATTAGAAATAGATTAGAAATAGATTAGAAATAGATTAGAAATAGATTAGAAATAATGAGAAATAGATTAGAAATAGATTTCAAAAATTCCTAGTTTAACAAAGAAAAAGAAAATTAATAATACACATTGGCATATACTTAATAATTCAAATTTGTGAATGTAGGCATCTTGTAATCAAAGTCTTTGGTATTCTAACTTGATCTTAACGCACCATTAAGTTTAGAAACATTAAAAATGTTTTCAAATATAACATTCAAAAACCAGAAAATACCAGGGGTAACAAGGGGATACCAGGGATAACAAGAGGATACCAGGGGTACAAGGATACCAGGGATAACTCTGGGGTACCAGAGATAACAAGAGAATACCAGGTATAACAAGGGGATCCCTGGTATGACAAGGGGATACCAGGTACAACAAGGGGATACCAGGTATAACAAGAGGATACCAGGTATAAAAAGGGGATATCAGGAATAACAAGGGGATACCAGGGATTACAAGCAGATACCAGGGATAACAAGAGGATACCAGGTATAACAAGGTGATATCAGGTATAACAAGGGGATACCAGGGATTACAAGCAGATACCAGGGATAACAAGGAGATACCAGGGGGTAACAAGGAGATACCAAGGATAAAAGGGGATACCAGGGATAACAAGGGGATACCAGGGATAACAAGCAGATAACAGAGGTAACAAGGGGATACCAGGGATAACAAGGGGATACCAGGGGTAACAAGCAGATACCAGTGATAAAAGCAGATACAAGGGATAAAAGCAGATACAGTGATAAAAGCAGATACCAGGGATAACAAGGGGATACCAGGGATAAAAGCAGATACCAGGGATAACAAGGAGATACCAGGGATAAAAGCAGATACCAGGGGTAACAATGGGATACCAGGGATAAAAGCAGATACCAGGGATAAAAGGGGATACCAGGGATAACAAGGGGATACCAGGGATAAACAAGGATACCAGGGATAACTCTGGGGTACCAGAGATAACAAGGGAATACCAGGTATAACAAGGGAATACCTGGTATGACAAGGGGATACCAGGTATAACAAGGGGATAAAGGGGATACCAGGGATAAAAGCAGATACCAGGGATAAAAGCAGATACCAGGGATAAAAGCAGATACCAGGGATAAAAGCAGATACCAGGGATAAAAGCAGATACCAGGGATAACAAGGGGATACCAGGGATAAAAGCAGATAACAAAAGTATTGTTAATTTCAATTATATTTCAATAGTTATGTCAAGTAATGTTTAAATATTAAATTAAATATTTAAATCTTAACGCACCATTACGGTTAAAAACATTAAAAATGTTTTCAAATATAACATTCAAAAACCAGAAAATACCAGGGGTAACAAGGGGATACCAGGGATAACAAGAGGATACCAGGGGTACAAGGATACCAGGGATAACTCTGGGGTACCAGAGATAACAAGGGAATACCAGGGGTAACAAGGGGATACCAGGGATAACAAGAGGATACCAGGGGTACAAGGATACCAGGGATAACTCTGGGGTACCAGAGATAACAAGGGAATACCAGGTATAACAAGGGAATACCTGGTATGACAAGGGGATACCAGGTATAACAAGGGGATACCAGGTATAACAAGAGGATACCAGGTATAACAAGGGGATATCAGGTATAAAAAGGGGATACCAAGGATTACAAGCAGATACCAGGGATAAAGAGAGGATACCAGGTATAACAAGGGGATATCAGGTATAACAAGGGGATACCAGGGATTATAAGCAGATACCAGGGATAACAAGCAGATACCAGGGATAACAAGGAGATACCAGGGGGTAACAAGGAGATACCAGGGATAAAAGGGGATACAAGGGATAACAAGGGGATACCAGGGATAACAAGGGGATACCAGGGGTAACAAGCAGATAACAGAGGTAACAAGGGGATACCAGGGATAAAAGCAGATACCAGGGATAAAAGCAGATACCAGGGGTAACAAGGGGATACCAGGGATAAAAGCAGATACCAGGGATAACAAGGGGATACCAGGGATAAAAGCAGATACCAGGGATAAAAGCAGATACCAGGGAAAAAAGCAGATACCAGGGATAATAAGGGGATACCAGGGATAAAAGCAGATACCAGGGATAACAAGGAGATACCAGGGATAAAAGCAGATACCAGGGATAACAAGGGGATACCAGGGATAAAAGCAGATATCAGGGATAAAAGGGGATACCAGGGATAACAAGGGGATACCAGGGATAAAGCAGATACCAGGGATAAAAGCAGATACCAGGGATAAAAGCAGATACCAGGGATAACAAGGGGATACCAGGGATAAAAGCAGATACCAGGGATAAAAGGGGATACCAGGGATAACAAGCAGATACCAGGGATAAAAGCAGATACCAGGGATAAAAGCAGATACCAGGGATAAAAGCAGATACGGATAAAAGCAGATACCAGGGATAAAAGCAGATAACAAAAGTATTGTTAATTTAGTTATGTCAAGTAATGTTTAAATATTAAGTTGATGATGAGAAGGTATTCTAACTGTGAACTGGTTTGTTTATAGAAATGGACGCATTAACATAATTAAACTCCCTCATTCATTTAAACAAATTAGAGTTGAGTTAGAATAGATGCAGATACATGAAGAATTAAAGTACTATTTTCAGATAGTTTTTACTTTGGCCTATTTAAAGGGAGTGACCTACAATGTATGGTTGTTGAACTGAGATTATTGAGACATTTTTAGGATTCATTTGAGACCTATCATGCAGACGTTTTTACGGTGTATATTTGTTACGCAAGAGCGCAAATTCAATATTCAAAATCTTCATTGATTGTCCATTTTGAAGGGATGATTTTGAGAATCGGTTTCATTTAAATTATTCAAAGACGACCGCTAAAAATGTAATTAAAATACTACAGTAAACTAATTAGTTGTTCAGGAACAGGTTGAGAAAATAAAAATTAACTATTATTATTAAAAATTTAAGTAATCTTATTCAGTCATTGGTTTCTGTAATGTCTCAATGTAAAAAACCATTATCTGTAAATTTCCTGGAATTTTTAATGACAATTTTAAGAAATCTGCGAACAAATTCATATAGAATAAGAAATTCAATATAATGATGAAAAAGAAACAATTTATTTTTACATTGATTTATTGTTAAATTTTCTATTGATAAATATGTTCATCACCATCTTGTAAGTTTAATGTAGAAATTTTGTTAAATTTTCTTTGTTGTTTTCGAATAATTTTTATAAAACCGATTTTCCAAATCATCCCTCCAAAATTGACAATCAATGAGGATTTTAGATATTGCATTTGCGCTTTTGCTGAACAAATATGCAATTCAAAGATTGCGAAATTTTTGTATCACCCCCTGGAATTAAAAAAGTTTTTTTTGGTAATTTTTATGTCAAAACCTTGACATGGTCAAGGATGGGATATGTGTTACCTATTTTTAACATTTTCCCTGGAAGAAATAATATTTCCAAAATTAACAACATTTTGACTGACAAGTGGCGCCGCAAATTTTTGTATCAGACAAAAGATTAAAAAAAAAGAAGCTGCCCCCCTCTCTATATATGTTGTGAGCTAAATTTTTCCCCTGGACAACCCCCTTCCCTCCCCCCTTAAGCCTAACCAGTGTTTGTTCTATTTCTAACTCTATTTTCAGTGATCTAAATATACGCACTCCGTGGGACACGCCCTAGCCGCTGACGCACGTTGATATAATGTGTCGAGTATACGCAATCTCTTTGTCTGACTGAGAAGCGTCAAAGATGACGCAGATCATGAGATTTTTATTCACCCATTGATAGAACCACACCTATACACGCTGCAACCTCAAGTAAACAAAATTACCAAGCAAAATGTATATTTAAAAAATGCATCCATTAAAAAATGGTAACAATGAAAGTCACGATTGAGGTATTGCTGGAGATACACCACACGACAGCCGAGCAACTAAATAATAATTATTATTATGATAGAAATAGTAATAATAATAATAATTGTATAAGCGATAGAAATAGTAATAATATTAACTGTAAATAATTTTTGTTACTTATTTAATTATAAATATGATACAAAATATATAGAAAATAATGATGATGATGGTGATGATAGTGATACAATCTAAGATAACCATGACGATAATTACAATGACGATAACACTAAGATGCCCATAATAATCATTACAATGATGATAATGCTAATAATGATGATAAAGTTGGGAATGATAATACTATAAGATAAAATAATGATAATTACAATGATTTATGCTAAAAATGATGATTAAGATGGGAATGATGATAATATAAGATAAAATAATGATGATTACAATGACTATGATGCTAAAAATGATGATAAAGATGGGAATGATGATACTATAAGATAAAATAATGAAAATTACAATGATGATAGTATTAAATGGTTATTACAGTGAGAATAGTGGGATAAGGATGCATTAAGATATCCACGATGTTATTTTATGGCGAAAATGATAATAATGAATATAATCAGTGCTCAGGATCCCGATCCGGAACTGCTGGCTCTGCAACATTTAAACTCTCCTGATCAATATCCGAAAAAATAAATTGATCCATAGAATCGGATCCAAGTTGAAAAATATCATCCTATTATCTACTAAGTTAAAAATAAGCAAAAGTAGAATTTTTTAAAATAAGATTTTAGTAAACTTTATTAACTTTTAATGAACTGTAACCGGATCATTTCTTTTACAGGTTATATCTGGAACCCGGATCCGGATCCGGATCAAGATTGAACATATTGATAATTGAATTGATGATGAATTGTAGTTTATGAAAAATGTTTTACACCATGCATGAATACAACAAGAGATGGACATTAGAACGAACGACATTTTTGAGAACTTTTTTTGAACGAAAAAAACGAACCATGAACGAACAATTTATATTTTTCAAAGAAAAGAAAAGAGAATCGTTTTTTAAAAAGAGAACGAAAAAGACAAAAACAAACGATTTAAAATCATTCGAACTAACTTGAAAAAACGAACGCTTTTTTTGTAACAGCTTACCTGTACATCCCAGCTGCTTTTTATAACAGCTTACCTTGCATTCCAGCTGCTACACATGTATCCTGATCCTCCCCTCTTAGAATTGCCGTGATAAACCCAGCTGTCAAACAATCCCCAGCACCAGAAACTTAAAATATAAATGTTAAAAATAATAAAAATGATTTGAAAATACAGGGTATCCCAAAAAACATGGGAATTGAGTAAAAACTTATAAAGAGCATTTTTGGACCTTCAAAATTGACGGAGATGTTGAAAAATTTATCTATATACATACTTTGCTTGTCTGTTTGACTATGGGTTCGTATCCAATAAACGTTGAAACAGCTGAACCAATGGTGCCAAAATTTTGTGTGGGACCTTACATGACCCCAGGGAAGGTTTATGATTTGTAAAAATTTCCAAAATAAGCCTCCAACAAAATTTGATTTTTATTAAATTTTGAAAACCCACGAAATATTTTCAAAAAATCCGTGAACTTTTTTTTTCTTTTTTTTACAATGTCTACAAAGAGATAATGTTCAATTAAAATAGAAGATGGACGTGAAGCCTGGTATTCATATATTTTACCTGAAACAACATTAGTGGCAGGCACTCCAGGATAATGTACAGAACTAAAACTAGATATTTCAAATCAATATTAATTTAATCTGAGAAAATGTAACTTAAAGTACACAGTGTACAATGTAAGTGTAAGGATTACACTGTACAGTGAACAGTGAACGGTGTACACATACCTGTAAATTGGACGGGTTATAAGCTTCCATATAATTGTGTAGACAATTATTCAAGTAATCATTTTAATTACAAATTGGACTAAGCATTTTTTTTTATCAAAACTGATTTCAGCAATCTGGCCTGAAAGGGGTGTCGTTGGAATTTGAGAGTGGCATGAACTATTCACTTTCAAACTTACTTTCTTTAATAATGTGGAAGATATCGTGTTTCTAGTTTTAAAGGCTTTTAATTTAATAATTTCCTTCATTGATTTTAGAGAAGAAATACACAAATCTCTTAAAATAATCATTTTTCTAAGAGCACCTTGATCATACGAATTGCAAGTCGCTAAGAATCAGTCATGTTACTCGAATAATAAAAAGTCACTTTAAAAATAAGTTTATATTCCCTTTAACAATGATGTATTTGACAGTACTAACCCTGTAAGCTGTGAAGCTGGATTAGATCTTGAAGGAAGAGGGTCTGAAGGATCTCCTCTTCTGGTCAGAAGCACTCCGTCCTTACTCATGGTCAATAGGATCACAGATATACCATAGTGTTCAAGTAACCTAGAGAATTAGTGTTCAAGTAACATAGAGAATTAGTGTTCAAGTAACCTAGAGAATTAGTGATCAAGTAACTTAGAGAATTAGTGTTCAATTAACCTAGAGAATTAGTGTTCAAGTAACCTAGAGAATTAGTGTTCAAGTAACCAAGAGAATTAGTGTTCAAGTAACCTAGAGAATTAGTGTTCAAGTAACCTAGAGAATTAGTGTTCAAGTAACCTAGAGAATTAGTGAATTAGTGTTCAAGTAACCTAGAGAATTAGTGTTCAAGTATCCTAGAGAATTAGTGTTCAAGTAACCTAGAGAATTAGTGTTCAAGTAACATAAAAGACGAAACCTTAAGACAAGAATTATGTTCAGGGGGAGAGGGGTAATTTTGTTAATTATACCTGACAGAAAGAGAAGCCAAGGATTTTATTGTATTGTCAGTTATTGTTGAAACATCAGGAATATCCTAGAAAAACAAATGTAACAAATGTTGTATTTGATTTAATCTTTACAAGTAAATTTTAAAAGTTCAAACAAATTACATCACTTTTTCTATGACAATTTCTTATTAAAGGGACCGTTCATTTATTTGGATAATTTCAGGGTAAACTACACAGCCTATTCAATGTTGATTGGTATTAGTCTTACTTTTCAAAGACAACTGTGGCCGGAGAAAAAGAAAATTAAAACGTAAATTAAAAAGTTGTCTTTATTATATTGATATTATCGCCTACCACCGAAAATAAGCACCGTAAACTTTGATTGCTATACTGCAATATTTTGCTGACCAATGTAACCTTGAAGTTGAATCATACCTGCACACCAGGAAGAGTTTTAATCATGTTGACCAGCTCGTTCAGGTTGGGGGAGGAGTAGGTCAAACTACCTGCCAGGGACAACAAGACAATTTTAAAACTTTGTCTCAGTTCAATAAAAATAATCGTCTGAAAAATGAAAAGATTTGTCTGATCAAGGTAAATAAAATACCCTAAATTTTCTTTATAAAAATCCACTTAATTTTGATGCGGATCCTGGATTCGCACTGGAAAAAATGAATCCGGATCCAGGTCATTTCTTTACGATTTACTGAATTTTTTTTAAACAACTATGAATTTTCAAATTTTTGTTGTATTTATTTCGTTTGTTTATATGTTGAAACTAAATGAACCTTTTAGAAATCAGGTAATTGTTATAATCTCTCTTTAGTTCAGATTTAGATTTAGAGAGTAACAAAGTTTTTTTTTGCAGTTTTGGTTGATATTTTGCGCCTTGCATCCGGAACCGTGGATCCGCATATTTGTGCGGATCCGGAAAATTTTTGTGAATAATGAGGGATTATAGAAACAAATAATTAAATAAAACTACTTATTTTCGATGATAAGAGTTAATTTTTATGTTCTCAACCTGTCCCAAGCAACTAATTAGTTTACTGTAAAATTTTGTTTACATTTTTTGTCGTCGTTATTTAACAATTTGAAAAAAACCGATTCTGAAAACGTACCCACCCAAATCCATGATTTGAACGTCGACTGTGCGCTCAATTCCGATATTAATGCAAACTATTAACCCGTAGTTTTGTGTCTTAACAAGTTATAATCCTAACTTTAAATATATTTTCTCTTGTTTCCTGTAAATTTGCTTTGTAGAGGTTTGGTGGATTTAGTTGAACAGGCGGGGTCGTAGAAATACGGTACACCATGCTTACCACACAGTTCAAGAAGTATATCTAAATATATATTATATTTATCAATAATCCGGAACTAAACTTTCTCTATTAAAGTCAATTTAGATTTTGCAACAAAGCAAAGAACATTCCCGACCAAAATTCGAGGCAAATCGGTCAAGGGGTGGGGGTGGGGTAATTAATTGAGTTGAGATAAGAGATTACTAGTTTGCTTAAAAGGAGTGACCGGCTAAGTATGCAGTGTTGTGGAAAACTTCTTTCGGATTCATTTGAGAGACATATTAAACTTTTTAAAGATCTGTAAATCCTGAGTTTGAGCGCAAATTCGACGTTCAAAACTCCTACTTTGGGGGTGGATACATTTTCAGAATTAGTTTTTTAAAATTATTAAATAACGACGACATAAAATGTAAAAAAACTCTACAGTAAACTACAGACGTCATGTATAGGACCATGTTGAGAAAATAAAAATTAATCTTAACATCCAAAATAAGAAATCTTGTTCAATTATCTTGTTAAAAAAAGACGACATTTGAAGAATTTGAAGAAATCTGCGAATAAATTCAAAGAAAATAAGAAATTCAATATAATAATGAAAACGAAATAATCGATTTTAGCATTGATTTATTGACAAATTTCTTTTGAGAAATATGTTCCTAACCTACTGTATAATTTTTACTTTATTTTTCGTTGTCGTTATTTTGAACGTCGAATTTGCGCTCAAACTCAAGAATTACAGATCTTTAAAAAGTTTAATATGTCTCAAATGAATCCGAAAGAAGTTTTCCACAACACTGCATACTCAGTTCAACTACCTTACATAACCGGTCACTCCCTTTAAATAGATTCTGTGGATATTTTTATGGGTTCTTCATTAAAATGAGAAAACTATTTTCTAGAGGACTAATTAGGATCCTGATCAAAGTGGAATATTTAATAAGATCAGATGTTATGATCATTATTATTAATATCATTATTATTAATATCATCATTATTATTAATATCATTTTTATCTTCCGTATTTTCATTACTAAATATTTCATAACGGTTACCACTAAAACTGTCATTATGGTTTTCATACACTGTAATATTAGCGGCTAAACCGGACATCCTCACAAGTATTTCTGATTTAAAATGCAGTTATGCGAATGTTTAAATACAATACACGATAAACTGCATAAGTACGGTGGTTAGAGTGGTTAACATTCTAAAAAAAGTAAAAAACGGTTCTGACAGTAAATCGTTAAAGTACTGTCAAAAGACAATGTTAAAAACTGATTATTTTCAATTGTGGTTTCTCAACAAAAGTGACTTGCGCATTTCGACTGCAGGAAACCAAGAAGAAATAAACAGAACCAAACACTTCAGCTAAAAAGACGACATTATCTTCCATATTAAAAGGGTCTTGTTGTGAATTGGGCAATGGGCATTACCATCTTTGCATGAAAGGTTCAGCTGCAAATTACGTTTACAGTCCTTTTAATTCCTGCCGTGTAGGTGAAATAATATAAAAAAGAAATATCAATGAAGGAATTAGAGTTGACATGTGTCACCTATTTTGTCAGAACAACCTTTCTCTTTCTCATAATTTTTCAAAACAATTCAAAGCTGTAAAAATATCGTCAGTTTTAATCTTAATTAATTTAATTAGTTTTCTCCGTTGGCTCTGCTTCATAATTCTTCAAGTCACTTTCATACTGCATTTGAAAAAAACAAATTCATTCTAAGAAAAACATCGCTTTAAAGGGTACCGTTAGAATTAGTAAATGGAGGATCAATTTAAAAATAAGTTAACAGTCCCTTTAAAGAAAACTTACTAATGGATTGTATAGGTATATTCCCATCACTAAGAACCAGGGGGGATCCAGCAATAACATCTTCATGTTCAAGAATATACTCAGGAGTAATTTCATCATGAATATCCATATCTCCAACACCAAATTTACATTCACCAAAACTAAAATAAACGCATCATAGAAAATTATATTTCTCCTTTGACCAAGACGATTTTTATTGTTTTATTGTCCCTTTAAATGTTATGTTTGGCGAACAGCCCTGTTAACATTTCTTTTATTGCTTCTGAAGTGGCAAAAAAATGCTTGTGTTACATTACAAGCCATTTCTTACTGTCTTCTCATATTCTATAGTAAACCAACCCTTAATAATCTTTGAAGATGAACTGTTCCTTAATTTTTAAATATTCTTAAAAAATGTGAACTGTTCCTTTAAATATTCTGTAAAGATGAACTGTTCCTAAAATTGTTCTTAAAAAAGGAAAACTGTTCCGTTAAATATTCTTGAAATGTGAACTGTTCCTTTAAATATTCTGTAAAGATGAACTGTTCCTTAAATTGTTCTTAAAAAAGGAAAACTGTTCCGTTAAATATTCTTGAAATGTGAACTGTTCCTTTAAATATTCTGTAAAGATGAACTGTTCCTTAAATTGTTCTTAAAAAAGGAAAACTGTTCCGTTAAATATTCTTGAAATGTGAACTGTTCCTTTAAATATTCTGTAAAGATGAACTGTTCCTTAAATTGTTCTTAAAAAAGGAAAACTGTTCCATTAAATATTCTGTATTATAACCTATCTAGTATAGCTGTATAAGTTGCAGTGCTACTGCTGGGAAGGATTTTAACCAAGCTCGTATCTGGGTTCAAACCAAAGTCAGAAAATTCAACATTAAACTCGTAATTTCGAATGTCCCTCCGCTTATACAGTACCATGTCCAAATTCACATAGGTGCCATGACAATTTTTTTTGTCATTATAAAAAATTTATAAAGTTCAATTGCAGTTTCTCTATAAAAGTGACTTGAGCATTTCCGTTGCCTAAACAATTGAAGGAAGTCATCAGAATCAAACGTCTGTCAAACTAGAAAAATGACATAATCTTTCACATTTTTAATCAGTTAAAGATTTAAAAAGAATCGGGAACGCCCAATGGAGGGTCACATGAAATTTCAACGACAGTACGTTTAGCTCAGATTCAATTTATCATTAGATTCTGTTAAAAAATGTTCTGATCATTTCGACAGAGAGCTATGTATATTGTATATCGATGCTTCTAGTCCGCAACAACGAGATGTTCCTAATTCTAAAAGTGTTTTTAAATACACCTTTTAAAATGTTAGAAGGGAAATTCTTTTGTACTCATTAAGTCGCCATTTTCTCAAAGTCAAAAAGAACCAACGTTAATATGCTGCTCTGCTCATTAAAATTAATTGGTTTAGAGAGAATACACGTCGAAAAATTTAACAAAAAAAGGTCTTTAGAATGTAAGTAACAATATCAATTAATAAATTAGTGGCCTTTTAAAACATAAAACTGGCTAACAAGGGTTAAAAGATTTAGATTTTTGGTAAATACGTCTGATTTAATTTTGACTGGTTGGAATAATGTGAATATGTCTGGTTGGTTTAATGTAAATCTGTCTGGTTGGATAAATATAAATCTGTCTGGTTGGATTAATGTAAATATGTCTGGCTGGATTAATGTAAATCTGTCTGGTTGGATAAATGTAAATCTGTCTGGCTGGATTAATGCAAATCTGTCTGGTTGGATAAATGTAAACCTGCCTGGTTGGATTAATGTAAATCTGTCTGGTTGGATTAATGTAAATCTGTCTGGTTGGATTAATGTAAATCTGTCTGGTTGGGTTAATGTAAATCTGTCTGGTTGGAATAATGTAAATCTGTCTGGTCTGGTTGGATTATTATGAATCTGTCTGGATGGATCTGGTTGGATTAGCGTGAATCTGGTTGGATTAGTATTAATCTGGTTGGATTAGTATTAATCTGGTTGGATTAGTATTAATCTGGTTGGATTAGTGTGACTCATATAGGATTCGCGCGAAACTGATTGGATTAGCGTGAATCTGGTTGGATAAGTGTGAATCTGGTTGGATTATCGTGAATCTGGTTGGATTAGCGGGAATCTGGTTGGATTAGCGTGAATCTGGTGGTTTTAGCGTCAATCTGGTGGGCTTAGGGTAAACTAAATCTGATTGGATTAGCGTGAATTTGTCTTGACTAGAAATTCAAGGCGCTTCGCGCCCTTCTTTCTAGGCTATTAGGGCGCTTCGCGCCCATCTTCTATTTAAATTGTGAACATGTTTTTTTTGTTTACATTTCAAAACAAAGATGAAAAAAGTTTTGCGGATTTTTAAAAAAGAATTCGCGGATTTTCAAAAATTTAAATTTTTTTACAAAATTAAAAACCTCTAAAACACAAATTTTAAAAATTTCAATCATTCATAAACCTTCCCTGGGGTCCCTAGATGTCCCACAAAAAATTTGGGCCCGATCGGTTCAGCCGTTTTGACGTTTATTGGATACAAACAGACAGACAGACAGACAAACAGACAAGCCAAATTTATATATAGATGGATCAGCGCGTGAACCTGGTTGGATCAGCGTGAATCTGGTAGTATTAGTGTGAATCTGGTTGGATCAGCGTAAATCTGGTGGTATTAGTGTGAATCTTGCTGGATCAGCGTGAATCTGGTGGTATTTGTGTGAATCTGGTTGGATCAGTTTGAATCTGGTGGTATTAGCGTGAATATGCTTGGATCAGCGTGAATCGGGTAATATTAGTGTGAATCTGGTTAGATCAGCTTGTATCTGGTGGTATTAGCGTGAATCTGGTTAGATCAGCGTGAATCTGGTTGGATTAGTGTGAATCTGGTTGGATTAGTGTGAATCAGGTTAGATCAGCGTGAATCTGATGGTATTAGTGTGAATCTGGTTAGATCAGCGTGAATCTGGTGGTATTAGTGTGAATCTGGTGGTATTAGCGTGAATCTGGTGGTATTAGTGTGAATCTGGTTAGATCAGCGTGAATCTGGTGGTATTAGTGTGAATCTGGTTTCCTAAATGCATATTTTGATCTAGAATATGTTTCCCCTGATCGTCCTCCCCCAAAGCTGACAGCAGTCTACACAAACAACAAACATTATTCTCAATTATACAACTTTTTTTCTTTCTTTTCCATAAAGATATCAGTATTATGTGTTAACATTCTTTTTATACAAAATGTAAGTTACTTTTAGTTTGATTGTACTTTAAAAATGAAAAATTGGATATCAAAAGGCAAGATTTGTCATCCTTTTAGATACTTTTCCCTCAAAAATATACTTGTTTTACCCAATTCAGCAAAAAAAAATTTACATTGAATTAAAATAAAAAATGTTTGTTTCCCTAGGCCGGGTACCCAGGCGAGCCAGGGCATCTGCAATATTCCGCCCAACTCCGCCGTGACTAAAAAGCATAAAAATCATGAATAAAAAATACTCTTTAAAAACATCCTGTTGAATACACTTATCAGAGTTAATCAGGATTTCAGAGATATGAGAAACCTACAAAAGTTACCGTTTGCCATTCAATTAGAAAATACCAGGAACAGTTTCCGAAAAGGATCCGGATTCATTGGATACGCAATAGTTTGCCTCCCAAATAAAAAAAAACAATTTTAGTTTTGCCCAACATGAGTTGTTATTAAAACCTTCTTTAATCAGCTTCTACGTAAAAAAATAGCAAAAACAAAAGAAAACCTTGTAGGAAATTTGCTTTTTGAAAAAAGAAATATTCATGGATCCATTTTTTTACGGATCCAGGAATGAAATCCTAAGCACTGCAAAATAAAAATAAATATTTGTAAAAATTTTAATCATAAACGTAGTGTTAGAATAAATAGAACTTATGTAAGGTTATCTTGAACATTATTCCTGAATCTCTACCTGTACTGAAGTTTTCCAAAATGTGTTGACCCATTGGTCTGAAACCTGTCCTCTGTAATCCTCACTACGAAATCAAATATGGAACCTCCGACAACAACTGGTCCTTTACTGGAGGTTTTACTTGATCCTCCTTCACTGGAGATTATAATTGATCCTCCTGAGGCGCTACTACGACCTGGTCCTAAATGAGTTTGGTCAACACAAGTTGCAAAAATACATTTCCTAGATCATTCGACAGATAAAAAATAAAATTTCAACTTTAAATAAAAGCAGAAAGAGTCTTCCCTCGTTGGTAAACGTTTCAGTGTGTTCCCTCTTCCTTAGTACAGCCGTCGTCGTATATATCAATTCAATGAAGACGACTTTCTATTTAATTTTTTGATTTCTACAGATCTTTCAAACAGGAAAGACACATAAACATGTAAACAAAGAGAAATTGACAAGGTTTAAACTTTAAAAGCCTTATGCGTCTTATGATGTTTACATTTTAACATAAGTAAAGAAAAATTCAAATTTAAGATGCAAACCATTAAAAGAAATTCTTTTGACGACCTTTCAAGTCTCATCCATAGTTGGACATGAAAATGAAAGACGACTTTTTAATTTCAGTTTTTTTGTAAACAAGCTAAGCTTTTTTCAAATTACAAGACTACAAGTAATCAAAGAAAAGCTTTCTAATTGACAGCTTCTCTTGACTTCTATGCTAATATACCATACCTGTTGTTTTATTAATTAGGTTAGACAGGTTGACCGCTACCTCAGCCCCAACCCTAGCATTGTTTTCTACTAGGGCAATGTTTGCTCGAAGGGACTCCCCGCTGGTCAACTCATTTAACCTAATATGCAGAAAAATAAAAACAAACACAAGAAGAAACATGGCACCAAATAAGGTGCCAAACGCGTCTTTTGTCGGGACGAATCAGTCATTTTTCAAAAGACATAAAATTACCTCAGCTTGGATGTGATTTACTAAAAAGAAGGTCGAAACAAACTAAGCCGTCCCTTTTGTGGTTTGACGGTTAAGTTAATTCCTCTGGAATATCTTTGAAGATCGATCAATCAGAAGCAACACAAAATCTGATTTTAGTAGCGATAAATGCTTGCAGCAATACGAGCCAGTTTTTCTTCTTCTTAAAGGATTAAGAACTTAAACCCTGCAAATTAAAGTCTCTTTTCAGTTATAGTGGATCTTACACTAGAGTTCCACACAAATCCAGAAAAAAATATCAATGAGAAATCAAATTTTGAGGCTACCTTGCTAATATGTAAGGTGTGATTTCTTTTCCTGAAATATTCTTCTCCTTGGCTTCTTGGACAGCGGTTTTAATTGAGTTTTCTATTGAACAGTTTCCTTCCTCTGTTGCAGGGATAGGAACACCCAACAGAATACCTACAAATAAAGTGACTGTTCAATTAAATTAAAGTGGGCTTTATTATTCGCTCAGTAAAATGGAGCTTTTTTGTTTTGTTTTTCTTTTTTAATAATAATCACACAATTAAAGCAAAAAAGCTTAGTTTTAAAATAGCCGAGGAAACAAAACAAAAAATTATCATTATGCGTTAGATTATGACTAAAGGAAAGAAAATCCTTTTTATTTCACAGTTTAAAGAAATTATAAATTGGATCAAAGTCAGTTTCACCTTTCCGTCATTTTTCATTTAAAGAACAAATTGTCATTTTTCAAAAGTGTTAAATTCTGAATTTTCTAAAGCAGAAATCCGCAAGTAATAGAAAAAAAATAAATTTAACATTTAGATAAACAAGGGTAACATTATCGTACGGACATTTCACTCTATAAGTATGGGTTACATTAGGCGGTCTGGGTCGCCCTAATTTGGGAGAACTTACGGATTTAATCTTTTTTATCTTTATCTTTTCTAAATGAAAAGTCAATTGAAATTACGCCTCAATCTTGAATAATAAGTATGAGTTGACCTGATTTCAAATCCAGATCTAGGTTGGCTTTCATGAGCGCAGCAGCTTCGCCTGGGGACCTAAGGTTAGTCATAAGCATTAAGTTGCTTCTCTTTTTTTAAATATTTTCTTTCTGGGTCAAAATTTGGCATATTGTAGGAAAAACTGTTTATTCTAAAAATTTGCTTTTACTATGCTAAAATGTCAGAAAATGCGAAAATAAAGCGCTCCAAAAATTAACGTTATAACGATCGTTTTTGTATTGGTTTTCCATTTTTAGCGAACTATAGCAGAACTGTAGCTTTGAAATTTTTGAAGTTTTTTTAAAAAGTTTTTTTAAAGAAGAACGAATTACCTGAGGTTATACGGAGCTTTGAACCCACTGTTACTGGTATAGAAGGCGGGGAAGTTTAGACCCTCCCCTAGGGTTGCCACGCATACGCCCATAGTTTCCAGGTACTCCAGGGTTAAACCAATATCAAGGATAGATTTTACACCGGCAGAAACAACAAGCACAGGGGTTCTTGGGAAATAAAACATATTTTTTTGATGAAAATTATCTTTTATTGAAACCTATATCTTACCAATAATGTGGAAGATGGTTCTAGGTTTTAAAAGTGTTTAATAATGTTAATCCCAAAATTTATATAAAATATAGTTTTCAAACTAATAAACATTCATATCTAATTCATCCTTGATTAGACAAGTTAAGGGTGCCCTTGTGAATCAGACTTTGTCATCTTGCATGGAGAGTCACATGAAATTAAGCTTACAGTCCCTTTTATCTTACTTTTCTTGCTAATACGATACCTTCCTAGTTCTGTGAGATCTGCGCTTATATCCATAGTAGTTTCAGCACCCCTGTGTACACCACCAATACCTCCTGTCACAAATACCTATATTTAAAACAATTATATAGTATTATATATATATATATAATGGAGAAATGTAAATCTGTCTGGTTGGATTAATGTAAATCTGTTATTTTATCTCTTAACTCATAATTCTTAAAATAAAGCGTGCGGTACAATGAATGAATGTAACTACCCTATTTTAGGACGTGAAATCCATGGTTTCCATCTTTATGTTTGGGATTTCCAGTTTAAGCTCCAGTTTAAAAGTCAGGATTTTCTTGATAGTCAATATGTGCTGTGCACAGTATACACTGTAGTATTTGAAAAGATGATTTAAATATTTTTTGATAATTAACCCCCACTCTGGCCCAGTCTGGAAGGGCTAAATAAGGGTATGGGAGTTCTCATTAGAATGATCAGGGAGGGGAGGACCTTTCAAAGAATTTAGAAACTCTTAAATGATAAGTCACCATGGTTTACATCAATTTCTTCTTTGATAAATATTGGACAGCAACAAAATAAGTAAAATTGATGGCTGATCATAGACAAATCCTTAAATAGCATATATTTTATAATTTCATGTCATACTATTACTTATCAGTGATGAACAAAAGCAAGATTCGTTTCTCTAATCTTTTAAAGATTTTCTGACTTATAAAATGAAACAAAGGGAACGCAACAATCTTTGAAGGTTCTAACATTTCAAAACTGTATTTTGTAAAAGTTTGTGTTCAGAAACTATGAAGTTTTAACCTTTAGACTGAAGATTTGGTAAAAAGTTAACCAACAATCAATCTTCTTAAAAAGATCTTCTTTCAAGGTTAAAATTTGGCACAGTGTGAGAAAGAAAATGTAAAAAAAAAAAATCAATTTTAAAGTTTTGAAAACATGGATATTGAACGTTTTAAATGTCCTCAATTATTTAATAGGTTAAAAAAACGAATCTTGAGATTGCCCATCACAAGCGGTATGACATAAAATAATAAAAAACTTGTTAAAAATGATTCTTCCATGAAAACAAAAAACTTTTGCTATTGTCCATCAGTACATACCGAGGCAGAATTTAAAGAAATTGAGCCGCGGCTTATATTTAAGCCGGGGCTCAAATATAGTTGGTTCCACTAAAATTGTATTAAATTTTTTAAGATTTAAGCCGGCGCTCAATCGAAACCGGTTTTTGGGGGTTTGAGACGCGGCTTAAATTCATTAAATTCGGACACTGCTTACCTTAATCCCAGCTTTATTGGCTACCAGCATAGTTCCAGATACTGTTGTACCTCCATCCATCTAGAGAATTATCATTTAGAAAGAGGATAAAGTATACCCTGTTCACATCATGCAATATATGACGTAATTAAACTTTTATTTTTGGCTAAATATTATTATTTATAAGTATTTATTATTATTTCACGTATCGTTATCACAATGGTTATCATTATCATTCTTTCTATCATTCTTTCTATCAATCATCCTATCAATCATTCTATCATTCATTCTATCATTCATTCTTTTATTCTATCATTTTATCATGCTATCATATTATCATGCTATCATTCTATCATGCTATCATGCTATCATGCTATCATGCTATCATGCTATATATGCTATGCTGTATTCACTGCAAGTTCGTAATTTGATTTGATCAAGATATGCAAATAATCATTTATAATTTTTATCTTTATTATCAAAAAGAATTCATGTTTTAAAATCACCAGTAAGATTAATAAAGATTAGAACTATCATTAGTATTACTGGAATAACCTTATTTGCCAGAATATATGGAAAATCTCGTCTTGAAGTTTTTAGAACAGTTCGAGCTGTGGCTAAATACTCTAACTCCTCGGGTGAAAGACCTAAAACAAAACCCACTTAGCTACACTTCCTACAGTTGGGTGCGTTCGGCTTTTCATATTACGTTCGTAAATCGTTCGCGAACGACCATTATCGTTCATTTTAATTCAATCGTTCACAACAAAATCAGTTTTTCAAAAGTTGGTTCGAAAAAATCGTTCAAATGTAAAAAAAACTATGGGTTTTTAGAAAAGTTTGTTCCAATAAATGGTTCGTTTAGTCAAAATACGATTGTTTTTTTTTCAAAATAATTTTTAAAATACATTAGTTCAGTAAAAAACGATAGTTTTTTTTCAAAATCGTTTGAACGGTTTAAAATAGTTCGTTTTTTCCATTTGTAATGAAAAACTATCGTTTTTTATACCGTCCATCTATGAAAAAACAACAACATTAGGGTGGATTGGATATACATATATACATCGTTGTAATAAAATACTTTTCATAAACGCATTCTGATAGTAATTTCAAGAATGTAAAAAAGTATATATTTCTTTTTTCGCTAAGATAAATTTAAGATTGATGCTGTTGTCAGCTGAAATCACTCCATTGAAGTACAGGGTCACTTGAAAAAATACTTTCCCAGAACTAAATAAACTTTTTGTTCAATGTGCATTTCTTAATAACTTTATCAATTTCAAATTAACTTTGATCCAACTAAGATGCATATCCTTGGATTTCACAACAGGACAATAAATATCTTCGTCAGTAAACTAATGTACACTTTCACGCCCATTTTCTATTTCAATTTATAATTCTGGCTCTATCTGTGAGTATCTTCTCTGTACAATAGGGAACATTCGCTGATTTTTCGCGCATTTTTAAATATTGCAAAATTTTTAAACTTTTGCACACAAATTTTTGCAATTTTGAGCATCATAACCTCTCCCTGGTGTCATGCGTGAGGTTACGCGCGAAATTTTGGCTCGATCAGTTTAGCCATTTTGACGTTTATTGGAAACAAACGGATTAACAGACAGTCGCTAAGACTTTGCAATTTACAACTGAACTATACTAATTCTTTAGCTAAACTTGACTTCGCAATCAATTCATTGGAAAAAGAAACAAACTGCATTTTGTCAGTGTCTAAAAAGCGTTTGCAAGAGGAGGACGGAATTGGAAATACATACATAAGTTGCAACAATTATAAATTAGAAAATCATTGCCATCTTTTTTTAAGTATAAGAAAAATCAAATACAAAAATCATTCGCTGTTTTCTGGTTCTCACTGAGCTGAAGCTGAACCTGGCTTGGGATTGTTGTTTTGAATTTCTGGATTAGCCTGTAAGTGTAGAATAAGCCGGATATTTAACTCAAAGTTTCATTTGGCCCAATACATGATTTTAATTGTTGGGAGAGGGGGGATAGTTTTTAGGCTTAGGTAGTGACCTGCTATGTAAGGTAGCTGAACTGAGTATGCAGAGTTGTGGAAAACTGCTTTCGGATTCATTTGAGACATATTACACTTTTTAAAGATCTGTAAATCCTGAGTTTGAGCGCAAATTCGACGTTCAAAACTCCTACTTCGGGGGTGGATACGTTTTCAGAATCGGTTTTTTAAAATTATTAAATAACGACGACGAAAAATAAAGCAAAAATTTTACAATAATCTAATTAGATGGTTAGAAACATATTTCTCAAAAGAAATTTGACAATAAATCAATGCTAGAATCAATTATTTCGTTTTCATCATTTTATTGAATTTCTTATTTTCTTTGAATTTATTCGCAGATTTCTTCAAATTCTTCAAATGTCGTCTTTTCAATAATAATTCCAGAAAATCTGCGGAAAATCTTTGAATAATGAGAAAATAGAAACAAATAATTGAACAATTGATTACTTATTTTCGATGATAAGATTAATTTTTATTTTCTCAACCTGTTCCTAAACAACTGATTTAGAATTTTTTTTATATTTTATGTCGTCGTTATTTAATAATTTAAAAAAAATAATTCTGAAAACATATCAACCCCCAGAGTAGGAGTTTTGAACGTCGAATTTGCGCTCAAACTCAGGATTTACAGATCGTTAAAAAGTGTAATATATCTCCATTATTCTCCAATGAATCCGAAAGAAGTTTTCCACAACACTGTATACTCAGTTCAGCTACCTTACATAGCCGGTCACTCCCTTTAAAGGTTGTTTCAAAACTAAGAAAATACTTCTTCTATAAAACTTAAACTTGTGATTTAAAGGGACTGTCTAAATAATTTTAAATGACCCTACATCAAAAGAGGTTTATGCCGGATTTACAACGGTAACTTAAATAACTTACTATTAGGAACAATTAAGAAATCATCGTTGCTATTTATCTTTAAAGGATTTTAATTTTGTCGATTCAATACGTTGCCTCTGCAGAATATCTCCACAACTCAATCTCAGATACCGTAGTTGTAGATTATCTCAGAAAAGTTTAAGAAGTACAGTTAGGATTAAAGCGCATGTACCTTTGTTAAAGGATGGTAACTTCCCTTTTATCAAATATAAAAGAGGGGAAAATGTACTCAACAAAATCTGAATAAAATCTTGTTGAGACACAAACACTCTTATAAAATTGTAAAACTGTCTCAATAAAACTCCTGAGGTAAAATTTTCTTAAAAACATTTTTATTTTGGAAAAAAGGAAATATAGCGGAAAGTTAGAATAAACAACACAAATTCTCGTGCACAATTCTCATAGGAGAAGGGCATTTTAATGACAAATGTTCTTTCCTACAAGGGTAATTAAGACAAAATAGAACAAGTAAAACTAACTATTAGAAATTATTTTCATCATTCCTAGAAAATAATTTATTGTAGTATTACGTTAAGTGTTTGCGCTGTCATTGCGTCTAAATAAATATTTTTACATTCAAAAATGAGATAAAACAGGGGTATTTAAATTACAAAAAATGTAGATTTGTCACTTTAAACTCTAAAACTAACCTACGTGTATTCTACCCTGTATGATGGCAATAGTGGCCGGTACAGCACCCAGACCTCTAAATATCATGGAAAATAATAATTAGTCTGGATTCGATGCATTTTCCTCTTCATCAAAAATACGTTTTTTTTTATGGATTGTTGTTGTAATTTTTAGTTGGCCTCTATTTAAAGAGGGATAAGTCCGATTTACAACTTGAACCCTTTTACAACCGTTTTCTGATCAATAATGTGTACAATATATTAGTTTATTTAGCTTATCAAGGGTTTGATTTACTAATTAATTCTCTCCATTTTCCCCAATTATTTGTATAATCCACAGATTGATTATATAGAGAAACCACGACTAAAAATAATATATTTGTAGAAAAAAACAGAAAAACTCCACAAAATTTTTGCTTTTACATAGGTTTAAAAGATACTGTTGTGTATCGGACATGCCCCGCTATAAATGTAGGATCAATAGAAATAACATCTTCAGTACCTTTACCAACTGAATCTACTCTTATATACATCTACACAGTTTGTTTTTACCTTTGTGACAGAAACAATCTCAAGGAATAATAATTGTCTTTTTTTAAAGTGAATATTTGCAAATTATCTTTTTTCCATCTCATAATCTGAGTTCGTCTCCCTTATGTCCATTTGACAGCCCAAATTTTTGTATTGAATAAACTGTTTAGTTTGTTTATTTTCTTGTGATTTTTAACCAATTTTTTAAAATTTTTTTGTGATGGTTATTATATCGTTAGAACTGACGAGGGTCAACCCAGACCGAAATATTTTTCAATAAATGTGGAACTAACATCTACTTTTTACTCTACAGAGGTTTGGTCCATCACCATCACCGAATTTTAAAAAAAGAAAATAATTAATTTTTATATTCCAATATATAATTGGAATCAACTAGGATTTTAAAGCCAGCATTTCATTACGATCAGTTCAAACAAACAGTAATGTGAGTTTTGATAAACACTTAAATAAAAAAGGTTAAAAATATACCCACATGAAAAGTAAGATTGAAAAAATATGTTTAAAAAGTCACAGGCTCGAGGAAACTAAATAGTCCAAAAAGGAAGCACATTTCAGACTAAAAATGTTGAGTTTAAATTGTTTGAAAATTATTTATTTACCTAATAATATCTTCAGTTTTTCTAGCCATAGATAAATTTGAAGGGTAGGGCATCCCGTGGGTAATAATTGTAGATTCTAAAATAAACCTGAGCTGTGCTTAGGATTCATACAATTTTTTCCCGCTTTATATCCTGGATTCACATTGAAAAAAATGTGCTGAAAACTTTAGAATGGTGGATATCGAGATTAATGCGTGATCCTCTCTTTTTCATAAAATCGAGACTAATCTAATCTTGTACTTGCATCCTGAAAAGTGTAAAAAAGCCGATAAATTTAAAATTTTGCGCGCTATTTAAGATTAATATACAGAAATTTTAATTATAAAAAACGGTTTAAAAAGAAAATCAAAAGTGTGTCCATTGGATACCCAGATTAAGTAATCGGGATTTAGGATATCTCAATCTAAAGTTTTCAGCTCTGACTTCAGAATCAGGTCATGAAAATGCATACGGAGGAAATATTTCTCACTTTGTTACTTTGGTTCACAGAGGGATAAGTCCGATTACTAGTATTAAGAGAAAAAAATGTTGTTCTATATTGTAATGTACAGGGTTACCAAAAAAGGATGCGACCATAAATAAGTCTAAAAATCTAAAATTGCTGAACCATAATATTTTTATGGCTCTTTTAATGATTAGACATAGAAAAAAATTGAGTTTACGACTACATGGAATAATAAATAAAAGAAAACAGAGCTGCAAATTTTAGAATTGGATATCTTAAAATACGATAACTAAATTTATGTATTCATTGTTGACACTTTTAATTTCTACTTAATCCACTCTTTTTTAATTTATCCCTGCTGGATTGCACCAATTAGAATTCACTCATTGATTTCGCGGGCTAAATTTCAAAATTTCTTGGCTTCTAATTGGCTGTTTGGGATTTTGTAAACGGCACTCTATTGGTTGAATTTTACACAATTTCCAGGAAACAAACTAATGATTAGATTAATCTTGAAATAAATAAGAAGAGGAAAACAAGGATCGACCTGGAAATTCTCGATATCCACCATTTTAAAGTTTTCAGCTTTAAACGCATAAATTATCTGCGCCTCTGAAGTTTCATCCTATATGAGTACAACCCTGTATATTTTGATAGATATTACCCCCTTGCCCAATTTTACAAAGATCCGGATCCAGAAAATCCCAATGTTGCGAATAAGTATCTAAAGCACTTCTACTTTGAAATAATTATTTCTTTAAGTGGACTGTACACAGTGTACACGTAATTCTTTTCTCGGAAAGTTTATTTTTTTCAGTTATGGATCTGTACAGTGTACACGTAATTCTTTTCTCGGAAAGTTTATTTTTTTCAATTATGGTTCTCATCAGTATAAACGTGCCTAGCGGATTCATCCATGCTACAAGGCAATGAAGGAAAAGTTCAGAATTCAATAAGGTTTAGGTAGAGAACACTATAGTAATATCCTAATAGTTTATCAAATAAAGTTTAAAGGACATTTTTTAAATGTAGGGTCATTTGAAATTGAGTCTTTAGTTATTTAATAAAAAAAAGTGTTCGAGACACAATCAGACATAGTTGAAAGTTCAGAGCTGAAAACTTTAGAATGGTGGATATCGAGATTAATGCTTGATCTCCTCTTTTTCTTAATATCCAGATTTAATAATGCTTGTTCTCGTCTTGTTATTAATCTCTGGATTATTTAACTGATCGGGATTAAGGATATTCCAAAGTTTTCAGCTCAGGTCAAATTTTTAGATTTAAGTTTGAAATAATTTTAATTCCTCTCAAGTTTGAAATTGAATTTCCTTGCTAACTCCAGATATCTACTTTGGTCCAACTTGACTAATTCAAATAATAATAATTTACAACTTAGAAATTAAAATAGCATAACCACTAACTCCTTTCAAAGTTTAAAAAAGAATTTCATTGCTTATCCAGAAATCTATTTCAGTCTAATTTGACAAATTTTAGTGGAAATAAATCATTTATATGTTTCAGGATCATTTCTAAATTTTCTCAAATTATAAATTATTAAACAAACAATAAGGTTTTAAGAGAATTCTTAACATAAATTCTGATTTATAATCTCAATCTTTACACCCCGATGCCGTAGACACAATCAGGTTACAGCGATACAGGGCTTATCAATTCTAAGTTTGTGGCAAAAACTCGCTTCCTTTATCTATAAACAAAACATGATTATCAATGATGTTAGCTCTAAGGTAAATCAAATCCGACTTTTGGGGACATCTAAATTCCACACTTGACAATCTGAAGGGATTGTAGTACCTAATGCAACCACTGGATCTCCATTTTTTATCGCCAGTTCAACTTCTTTGGTCATATTGAAGTTGTGCAAGCAGCGGCAAAATTGGGTTTGAATCCGGCCAACCGCCATCTTGTTTAGCACCAGCGCCATTTTGAAAGAACCCACGTGGTTCAGTGGAATTCTGAAATGAGAATATAAAGCAAGATTAAAATATATTTGACTGACATAAAACATTGTGTTACAATACATTAAACAATCTTACATAAAAAGCACTTTCCAGTGAAAAATAAAATAGTAGTAATAAGCTTTATAAACGACGACTGACGAGTCATGGTTCATTTCTTGTTCTTGGTTGTACATCGACTTAAGCTCCATAAGCATTACACTCAATAAAATCTGCTAAGACATTAATCAAGTTTACGTTGAAGATTTAGCATGTAACATTTAGAGAATAATAGTGAACAGATTAAATTTCAAACTAAACCAGATATTTTTTAATTAAGATTTGTACATGCAATTTTATTAAAAAGAAATGCTTAAATTCTATTTTAAAATAACTAAATATTTGAAAAGTTGGCACAGAGAAAATTGCACATTATACAAGTATGTATGACACTACATGGTTTGAAATACAGCTGAATTTAGTAAACATATGAATAGATTGTAAGAGTTAGCTTATGAAATATGACTACTGTGTATAAGGAACAATGAAAGCTTAGATTTATTTTGTTGTACTCAACATATAAAAGCCGTAGGCATAATATAGTATTTTGATTTTTGTTATATGATTATCTTGAAGAACAAATAAAAGCTACAATTATTTTATTTAGAAGATCCAAAAATGTTTTTACTCGGAAGTTTCAGGTATTGTTTGTGTACTGCAATTTTAGGATTCCTCAACCAACTGCAGTACACAGATATCTTAGAAGTTTATGCATAGTACATTCTATTGGTACAACTGTACAATAAATTACTAATGCATATTCTCTTTATCCCTCAGAACCTTCCTGCGAATTTTTCCACTCACGGTTTTGGGCAAACTCTCAACGAACTCAATTTTCCTGAAATAAAAATAAAATGTTTTCCTTTACTTGAACGATGTCAAGAAAATGACAACTATTAAGATGTGACACATGATTCTACTTCCACTTTTAAAGGGCTTTTCATAGATTTAGCTTTTAAGTCTGTAGCTTTAGTACAAAAAAAATTATGGACTATTTTAGATTTTTTTTAACACGGACGAAACATTTTACAGCCGTGAACCCTAATACCCTAGGCATTAAAAATTTACAAAAAAATCTTTTAAATTACTATTCCTTAAAAGTAAAAAATTTCAAGGTCATAGTGCTATGGCAAAAAACTAAAAGGGGGGAGGTGGCGTGATGCTGCAAAGTGCTATCTAATAAACTCTCCGGAATATAAAAATTTTCTGAAAAACTTAAGTTTTTCTTGTTTAACATTGAAAGCCAAGAAAAATAATGATAAAAAGGGAAAATATTTTCATTACCGATGCATTCATAAAGGTCTTAAGGATAACATTGTGAATTGTTGTTAAAACTTACTTTAAAGTAATCTTTTTCTGAAATATTCTGTCCTAAAAGAAACTAATTAACTACAGAGAAATATACATCGTCGGAATATGAATATAAATTAAAATTTAAAAAGAACCCTAATCCAATTAATAAAATTATTACAGATTAACTTATTCATAAAACTCAATGATATCTTTTTATTCATTGAATGAGCTGAGGTTTAAAGCGGAAAGATGTATTCACAGATACCATAGTAATATAATCTTAATTAAAAAAGTAATTGAGAGATAAAAAAAATAATTAAGAGAAATGCAGGCAGCGCCATAAAACCTGATTTTTCAGGCCCGAAAAGGAGGGTTTAGACAGATATAATCCAGGTAAAAGATTTAGAAGTAAAACAAATTTCATAATCCAAGGAATATAATGCGAAGAAAAAAAAAAATTAGTAAAACTCTCGCCAGCATTAGCTTATAAAAAATTAAACAGACCACTGAAGAAAACTTTAAAGGGAGTGCTGCAGTGGTTATTGGAAACTCTGTAAAAAGCATTGGCTCCAAACCTTGGATATTTGTATGGAGCTGTTGTGTTCTTGACATGCTCTTGGAGCTGGGAGATCAAGGCCTCCTCCTCCTCCACTATACCTACATGAGTATCTATATATATCTATATAAAACCGGTCCCATTCGGCGCGTTCACTTTGTATTTGTATGAACGTCAATCTTTTCTTGAATTTAATGTATGTACTGTAGAGCGTAGGGCTGGGCAACGTTCCATTCACAAAAGGCAAGTGTTTCTATGTCAGTACAATTAAAGCATTGTTTACCCATTATCTGTTTGTGTGTCCCCAACAGTAAAATAAAACAACTGTTTACCCATTATCTGTCTGTGTTCGTGACAGTACACTAAAACAACTGTTTACCCATTATCTGTCTATGTGTCCGTGACAGTACAATAAAACAACTTTTTACCCATTATCTGTCTATGTGTCCGTGACAGTACAATAAAAAAATGTTTACCCATTATCTGTCAATGTGTCCGTGACAGTAAAATAAAACAACTGTTTACCCATTATCTACAATAAAAGCATTGTGTCTATGTGTCCGTGACAGTACAATAAAACAACTGTTTACCCATTATCTGTTTATGTGTCCGTGACAGTACAATAAAATCATTGTTTACCCATTTTCTGTTTATGTGTCCGTTACAGTACAATACAATCATTGTTTACCCATTATCTGTTTATGTGTCCGTTACAGCACAATAAAATCATTGTTTACCTATTATCTGTTCCGTGACAGTACAATAAAATCATTGTTTACCCATAATCTGTCTATTTGTTCGTGACAGTACAATATAATTATTGTTTACCCATTATCTGTTTATGTGTCCGTGACAGTACAATATAATTATTGTTTACCCATTATCTGTCTATGTGTCCGTGACAGTACAATACAATTATTGTTTACCCATTATCTGTTTATGTATCTGTGACAGTACAATAAAATCATTGTTTACCCATTATCTGTCTATGTGTCCGTGACAGTACAATATAATTATTGTTTACCCATTATCTGTTTATGTGTCCGTTACAGCACAATAAAATCATTGTATTATCTGTTTATGTATCTGTGACAGTACAATAAAATCATTGTTTACCCATTATCTGTCTATGTGTCCGTGACAGTACAATATAATTATTGTTTACCCATTATCTGTTTATGTGCCCGTGACAGTACAATAAAATCATTGTTTACCCATTATCTGTTTATGTGTCCGTGACAGCACAATAAAAGCTTTGACAACTTGTCCTCTATCCATATCTGGACTGGACACTACAGCACTCTCCTCTACTGCAGGGTGTTCCAGTAGGGCAGATTCTACCTAAACATTGGGAACAGTTTCTTTACTTTTATTTTTATAACAATCATGAACATTAAACAGTATCCATCTTCTAGATAATAGAGCTCTTCGTTCATTTTTATGTTCGTTATAGCTGGCCAAACGGCTGGACCAAGTTAGCTGATTTTTGGTCGGACCCTAGCAGCAGGGAGATATCCTAAAGAGATGATTTGGCAGAAAATAAAGTATCCACAGTAGACATCGTGATTAATGGTATCCAACTCAATATATTCGGGTAGGAATTATATATTAGTAAAATCAAATTTAAAAATACCGAGGCAGAATGAATATTCATCTCTTCCAATTAACCCCAATAAGGAATTATCTATTGTTAATGGAACAAAAGGTTGACTCTGAAATACTGAAAAGAATAATTCCTAATAATCACCATTATACTAATCATATTCATTAATCATCTTCATACTTATCAGATTAATTAATCATCATCATACTAATCAGATTCATTAATAATCATTAAACTAATCAGATTAATTAATTATCATCATACTAATCAGATTAATTAATTATCATCATACTAATCAGATTCATTAATCATCATCATACCAATCAGATTCATTTATAATCATCATGCTAATCAGATTCATTAATCACCATTATACTTATCAGATTCATTAATCATCATCATACTAATCAGATTCATTAATCATCATCATACTAATCAGATTCATTAATAATCATCATACTAATCAGATTCATTAATAATCATCATACTAATCAGATTCATTAATAATCATTATACTTGTCAGATTCATTAATAATCATTATACTAACCAGATTCATTAATAATCATTATACTTGTCAGATTAATTAATAATCATTATACTTGTCAGATTCATTAATAATCATCATACTAATCAGATTCATTAATAATCATCATTATACTAATCATATTCATTAATAATCATCATACCAATCAGATTCGTTTATAATCATCATACTAATCAGATTCATTAATCATCATCATACTAATCAGATTAATTAATCATCATCATAATAATCAGATTCATGAACTAAGTACAGACGTGTATTCATCATATAATCATAGACTCTTGAAAACATAAAAGATCATCAACCTATTTAGTCTTTTAATGGCACTGATATATTGTATTCAAGGGCTTCTCTCCTTCCTTCAGAAAGGTTTCAACTAATCAACTTTACAAGAAAGTTGTATAAAATATTAAAATCTATTGCATATTGGAGCTATTAACTGTAACACTTCTCTCAAATTCTTTCTGGACGTTAAAGCCAACTAATCAACATAAAATGATATAATTATGAATTCATCTATTTGATTGAGTACTTCACAAGGTAGGATGATGACGATATCAATTTTCTCTCTTATTCCCATCGTTGAAAAATGCCAAAAATCCACCACCAATTATTTATAAAATATAAACAATGAATATTAAACTTTTTCTTCATTTAATTTTTGGGGAAAAATCCCGACAACCTTTATTTTTGAATGTTTTTAAACATTTCCTCCTCAAAACCTTAATTTTGTATTTTTTGCTTTATAAATAAACTAACAAAATCGAATACAAAAAAAATCGCTATAGCTAACATTTATAAATACATACATACAAATATATATATATATGCGAAGAGCTTTATTATACATATTATTAACTTACTTATTTACAATTTGCTCTTTTTACATTTATCTAGGCTAAGCATTTGCCCAACACAACAAACCCCACGAAGTTTGCTCTATACAACACCTACTAATGTTTTTTTTAAGGAATACCAAGATCTTCTGAGCTTGGCTTTGCTGTGGTAAAACATAGCGCTCCGGCTAGGGTGAGCGGAAGTAAATTGGATTTAGAGCAAATGACATCAGCGAAAATTGTTATAATAGAGCAAATTTCGTATTTTCGTCTGAGAGAGAGATAGTGAAAAAATTATATTCGATAAGTACTTGAAGTAATCTGATTTAGATATGATGATTACTGAGTTTAACATATTTGACTGCAGGATTTAATAACTAATTTTTAAAACCAACAGTAGAATTACAATTTCAAGTTAGGTAAGCTCATAAAACAAAATCTAACCTCAAATGGTCCAATCCTGTATCCTGAAGAAATTATCAGATCATCTGTTCTTGATTGGAACCACAGGTATCCATCCTCATCCTAACATTGAGCAAATTAACAGTGACAAAAGAAACTGAACAATGCCGCAAACTCAGCTATTCTAATTCCTATATCTTCCCCTAGTTTCCCCGTCTCATGATGTTACCATTTATATTTCAAACTAAGATGTCTAACTTTGAAATAGGTCAATAAAATATAGGTATTGGAACTTAGAATTTGTGGCAAGAGTTCAATTTCTTAGCAAACAGCTTAACAGAGACTTTTACAAAAGCCTATTGATCGATTACATGGGGTGGATAAAAAAATCAGAACTTGTTATTTCCAAACTTAATTCTCAAAATCATTTATTTGGGTGGTTACGTTTAGAGAATCGATTAAAAAAAAAATTAAATAACCACAACAAAAATCCTATAGTAAACTAATAAGATGTTTGTGAACATATTTCTCAATTGAAATTTTCCCAATAAATCAATGTTAGAATCAACTATTTCTTTTTTCATCAACATATTGAATTTCTTATACTTTATGAATTTGTTCGCAGATTTCTTTAAATTCTTCAAATGTCGTTTTTTCAAGAAAAATTCCAGGAAATCTACAGAAAATGTCTGTGAACAATGAGACATTAGAGAAACCAATAACTAAATAAGATTACTTATTTTCGATGATAATAGTTGATTTTTATTCTGTTAACCTGTTCATAAACAATGTACTAGTTTACTGTAGAATATTTACTACATTTTTCGTCGTTGTTATTGAATAATTTTTCAAAAACCGATTCTCAAAATCATCCCTCAAAACTGAACAATCGTTGAGGATTTTAATGATTGAATTTGCTCACTTACTAACAAAAGAAGTACTTCGCTTTTAAACGTTTTTCCGTTAGGTTAGCCAAATTCTTCGCTACTCGCTAAAGTGTGAAAGCATATTTAACAAAATATTAGATTTTTTTTTCTAATAAAAAATTAAATAAATTAAAAGACCTGCACCGCCCTGTCTCCTGTCAGATAATAGTCCCCTGCCAAACCAAATACAAATAATGAATTACAAATAAACAATATTTTTCTTAAACTTTGAATCATCAATGCCTTCAGACAACATTTTTTTATATTTATATTTATTAGATTCTTATAATGTAATTTTATTTTACTTTACGGAGAGGAATGACTGAATCACAAGGGTGCTTTCAAACCCTTTTCTAATCAATAATGTAGAAAATCTTGACATTTTTCTTTCTTGAAAATTGTTTAATTCTGACAATATATGCCATATTGCATCTGCAGGAGAAATGTGCAAAAGTCCATTTAAAAAGAACCAGGATTGAAAATTATCAATTCTAAAAGAGAGGATCTCATGCATTCTTCATTGGAGAAAGTTTTAAGGGTAGTGTTGTGAACCTGACATGCCACTTCATAACATGGAGTTACTTGAAATTAAATTCTTCAGTCCTAATTAAAATAAGAATATTCTAAACAATTATTTTTCAAGAAAATGTATGAAAAAACTGAAGTGAAGAAGTATAATTAGTAAAATAAAAAGAAAAGAAAATAAGAGAAAACTGAATAGATTTGCCCCCCCACCCACTCTGAAAAACCGAGAGCGCCAAATAAAAAATAAAAATAATATATATAGACAAGAACCATTGAATGGTGATAAATTAATTAAATAATTAATCTCAGTCCTGCAGAGAACAGATTAATTATTAGAAGATTTGTTTTCCTCAGATTAATTAATTTACTAATAAAATTATTATTATTTATTTGGTTCCTATGAATGAATGTGAAGTAGCCTCTGGATCATCAATATATCCTTTCCATATACTCATATCAGAAATATAAATATATTTATGTCAGAAATATAAATGTTTTCATATCAAAATTACAAATATATTCATATTAGAATTACAAATATATTCATATCAGAAATATAAATATATTTATGTCAGAAATATAAATGTTTTCATATCAAAAATACAAATATATTCATATTAGAATTACAAATATATTCATATCAGAATTATACATATATTCATATCATAAATATAAATGTTTTCATATCAAAATACAAATATAGTCATATTAGAAATAAAAATATATTTATATCAGAATTATACATATACTCATATCAGAAATATAAATGTTTTCATATCAAAAATACAAATATATTTATATTAGAAAAATAAATATTTTCATATCAGAAATATAAATATATTCATTTCAGAAATACAGCTATATTCATATTAGAAATATAAATATTTTCATATCAGAAATATACATAAATTCATATAAGAAATAAGTATTTGTATTTCTTATTAATGAATGATATCCTACTAGCTCAATATATTATCAAGATATCCTACTAATTCATATCAGAAATATATATTTGTCAACCTATATTTATATCAGAAATATATCCTACGTTATATTCATATCAGAAATATATATTTGTTCACCTATACTTATATCAGAAATATATCCTACTTTTTACTCATATCAGAAATATATTTTTGCCAACCTATATTTATATCAGAAATATATCCTACTTTATATTCGTATCAGAAATATATATTTGTCAACCTATATTTATATCAGAAATATATCCTACGTTATATTCATATCAGAAATATATATTTGTTCACCTATATTTATATCAGAAATATATCCTACTTTTTATTCATATCAGAAATATATTTTTGCCAACCTATTTTTATATCAGAAATATATCCTACGTTATATTCATATCGGAAATATATATTTGTTCACCTATATTTATATCAGAAATATATCCTACTTTTTACTCATATCAGAAATATATTTTTGCCAACCTATATTTATATCAGAAATATATCCTACGTTATATTCATATCAGAAATATATATTTGTTAACCTATATTTATATTAGAAATATATCCTAATTTATATTCATATTAGAAATATATATTTGTTAACCTATATTTATATCAGAAATTATCCTAATTTATATTCATATCAGAAATATATATTTGTAAATCTATATTTTTATAAGAAATATAGATAAAATAAATATAATTGTTAACTAGCTTTGATTTCGAAACCTGAAAAGAAAAGAAAACTTTCTCCATACTTAGAACTATTAACCCAAGCTAAGAACATTTCCGTCGCTCTACCCAGCTTCCCAAATCAAAGTTTCAGGGAAATCGGTCAAGGGGTCATGAGTTATGATCAGACATACAAACAGAGAATACAACTTTATATACTATAGATTATTGATAAAACTAATCTATTCAAAAATTACATTATTGCATTATTTTGGCTGTTTTCAAAATAGTTTAAAGAATAGGTTTCTGAAATGAATTCCTGCGAAGAGTCCAGGAGGTTTGTTAGGTTTAATCTTGACTCCTATATTACCCTGTTCTCCCCTAGCAACCTCCTGACCCATATTATTCACGATCCTCACATCATATCCTGAACATATAGTAATCAATACTAGTCCCTTGAATACGGTTGGTAGTCAATACTAGTCCCTTGAATACAGTTGGTAATCAATTCTAGTCCCTTGAAAACAGTTGGTAGTCAATACTAGTCCCTTGAATACAGTTGGTAGTCAATACTAGTCCCTTGAATACAGTTGGTAATCAAATCTAGTCCCTTGAATACAGTTGGTAGTCAGTACTAGTCCCTTGAATACAGTTGGTAATCAATACTAGTCCCTTGAATACAGTTGGTAATCAATACTAGTCCCTTGAATACAGTTGGTAGTCAATACTAGTCCCCTGAATACAGTTGGTAGTCAATACTAGTCCCTTCTAAAATCTAGTTTTTTGTGGTTTTTTCCCTTCCCTCTTCCCCCTTTTCCCTTACCGTCCCACCTTCTTCCCTTTCCCTTCCCTCTTCCCCCTTTTCACTTCTTCCTTTTCCCTTCCCTCATCCCTCTTTTCCCTTCCCTCTTCCCTTTTCCATTTTCCCTTTTCCATTTTCCCTTTTCCCTTTTCCTTCCCCCTTTTCCTTTTTCCTTCATTTGTTTTCCCAAAACCCAATGAAAACAGAAAAATATACACCCCTGGTCTATTGTCTGGTCTGTTAGTCCATATGGTCTCTTCATACAGTTGGTCGTACATACTGTCTCTTGATACAGTTGGTAGTTCATGGTAGTCTCTCAACTTTCGATATACAAGTCTCTTCTGATACAGATGGTAGTCCGTAATGGTCTTTTGATACACTTGGCAGTCCACACTACTTGTCTCTTTAAAGTTGGTAGTCCATATTAGCCACTTAGATATAGTTGGTAGTCCATATTAGCCACTTAGATATAGTTGGTAGTCCATATTAGCCCCTTAGATATAGTTGGTAGTCCATAAAAGTCTCTTATATACAGTTGGTATTCTATGCTAGTCTCTTAATACAGTAGGCTGTCCATTCTAGTCCCTAAATTTCAGTTGGTAGTCCATTCTAGTCTCTCAGCTACATTTGGTAGTCCTCAGTTGTATATTAGCTACAGTTGGTAGTCCTAAATGTCGTCTATTACAATTGGTTTACACAGTGTAACAATCGCAGCAGGTTGATTTAAAAATATAACTTTGGGTAGAAAACATGGCTTATAATAAAAAAAGATGGAATAAAATAGAAATTATTTAGATCTTTACAAACAACAGAAAATGATGGCTTGGCAGAAATAAGATCAACAATTTCTTATTATCAAGTAAGGTTATAGGGTTTTTTTCTAGAAGAAATTTTAAGGTTTGTATAGCTGAATTAGGAAAATAAAGGATTTTGAGGGAAAAAGCAGGGGGTTTTTCTAGAAGAAATTTTACGGTTTGTACAGCAGGATCAGGAGAATAAAGGATTTTGAAGAAAAAAACAGGGGTTTTTCCAGAAAAAAAAATTACGGTTTGTATAGCAGGATCAGGAAAATATAGGATTTTGAGGAAAAAACAGGGGTTTTTTCTAGAAGAAATGTTAAGGTTTGTAGAGCTGGATCAGGAAAATAAAGGATTTTGAGGGAATAACAGGGGTTTTTCTAGAAGAAATGTTAAGGTTTGTATAGCTGGATCAGGAAAATAAAGGATTTTGAGGAAAAAACAGGGTTTTTTTTCCAGAAGAAATGTTAAGGTTTGTAGAGCTGGATCAGGGAAAAAAAGGATTTTGAGGGGAAAACAGGGGTTTTTCCAGAAGAAATGTTAAGGTTTGTATAGCTGGATCAGGAAAATAAAGAATTTTGAGGGGAAAAAACACCCTGAAGAGAAGGGGAAAATGTGATATTTTAATTCACAATTTACATTTTCTTATTCTCTTACAGAATCTAAATTAGAAAATTTTACATTACTATTTACCTGGGGCAGGTTTTCCTATTGAGCCAGGTTTCACCCACTTATTCATCTTTTCATTTTTTCATTTAATTAATTAAAAAATTAGTTGAATAAGATTTAACAGAATAAATGAACTTCATTTTCATTACATTCAATTAATTAATTATGAACTTAGTTTAATAAGATTTAACAGAATAAATGAACTTCATCTTTTCATTATATTCAATTAATTAATTATAAACTTAGTTTATTAAGATTTGACAGAATGAATGAACTTTATCTTTAATTATATTCAATTAATTAATTATATACTTAGTTGAATAAGATTTAACAGAATGAATGAACTTTATCTTTAATTATATTCAATTAGTTAATTATATACTTAGTTGAATAAGATTTAACAGAATGAATGAACTTCATCTTTTCATTATATTCATTTAATCAATTATAAACTTAGTTTAATAAGATTAAAGAGAATGAATGAACTTCATCTTTACATTTTTTCATTTAATTAATTTTAAACTTAGTTTAATAAGATTTAACAGAATGAATGAACTTTATTTTTTCATTTTTTCATTTAATTAATTATATACTTAGTTTAATAAGATTTAAGAAAATTAGTGAACTTAATCTTTTCATTATATTCATTATAAACTTGAAAATGAAATCAAATGAAATCAAATCACACCAAATAAAATATAATTAGAGTTTTGAGGACGTCTTACTCCCGACATTTTAAACCCAAAGTGATTTTACTAAATCCAGAATGAGATATGGTTTTAAGAGAAAATAAAATTTATCAATTATTGAAATATTCCTTCTTGAATGTTCCACATAGAAGGGTAGATTCAGTTTGCCCGTAACCCTCTTTTAATCAGAAAATGTCAATTAGAAGAATTAGGTTATTACAATGATCCAGATTAAAAAAAAAAAGAATTGATTAAATACAGTGTCATCTACTAAAATCGGCAATTTATAAAAATGACTTTTTAAAAGAATTCATTCATACAACATTTTTATAAAACTGTCAAATAATTGTTTTAATGACTTTTACAGAAACATGTATTTTATTTATTTCCTTTAGGTTTCTTAAGTTTTGATTGTCATTTATAATGGGACACACTGTACACTGTTCAGTGTATAATAATACAAATAAATTAATTATTAAAACTTTGTAAAAATTGCAAAAATATTTAAAATTCTGACGATTCCTTTGATAACAATACCAAGAGCTTCTTCCCAGCTGTAGATCACCTGTACACAGATTGTACATAAATAGAACATAATAAGTAAATACGAAGTACGTCAACCGTAACTTTATAAAATAGTTCCCCCTCTTTTCTAACCACCCGTAGGCTGTTACCGCACCCCTTCCCTTCCACATAACCACCCTAAAAAACATTCTAGTCAAATAAAGAAGTTTACCACCTTTCCTCTTCATTAAGATGTTCTCATGACGGAAATAATCTCTCTTCATTGAGAGGTTCTTCTTTCTGCTTAAACACAATGCCGAACTGTATCCCCCCTTAAACCTTGAAATACTAATAATACCTCTTCATTAAGAGGTTCCCCTGCTGAAACACAATGCCTAAGTGTATTCATTTTATATTTCTTCAGATCTTCTTGAAGCAAAGACCTAAATAAAAACGAATATCTCTCCAAAATATATTGGAATAAATGGTCTCTCAACCTTTAAATGATCCTAACAAATCTAACTCAATTCATGTACATCTGAATCTTAGCTGAACCGACCTTTCAGGTCTTGGATTGTACTGCCCCGCCCGGTACACCAACTACAGTAGGTAAGGCTAGCTGGTGCAGCTAGGTTGACGCGGTCTGACTAAAGGGTGCATCTTGTTAAAGAACCTGTCAAATCTTTCGTTGGGATGTTTAGAAAGATGAAAATTTCCCTGTATGATAATTGAAGGACTGCAGTATGGTTTTGGTGAATTATATTGACGTACTAAGCCTAGGGGTGTCAGAAATGATTTTTTTTGCATTTTTTTGAAAACGTCCAAAAAACTTAAAAAAGTTTAATTTTGATAAAAATTTTTGTTCTGGATGATTTCAAATATCTATCTAAAACTTTCTTAAACCGGCATATTTTTTCTATATTCATTTAGTTAAGAGTTTGAGTTAAAATAAGTATTAATAAATATTGCTTTTTTTTTTGCCGGGCCCTTAGTTTACCTCCCCTGAGTACTGTCCCTGTCAGCTGCCTTGCTGCTGTCGGTTCTCTCGCCTATACAGTCTTCCTACAGTTTTCTACAACTACACAGCTTCTCTAACCACCTCTCCAAGTTAAGTTACGTTTAATTGTTTTAACTTTTAACTTGCTTTACTCCAATTCTTTTTCCAGTTATTTCATACTAATTAAATTTCAAAGTTATTAATCTCTCAGAACCCCACACGACAAACTTCTTTAACCATTTACCAATTTGTTAAAATAATTTAGTTCCTTAATTTAATTTCAGAACAAAACTCCTTTTACCTTTGTTATCTATATTGAACAGTTTCTTATTATTTTTAACAAATCTATCACTATAACTTCAGTTAATTACTTATCTACATTGTACCTCCAAAGAACTTTTCCTTTTTGAATTAACTTTTTCTCTTGCTCATTTTAGCCCTCCTCTTTCACTGTTATTTCCAACACTCTTTTCTTTATAACTCAAGATTTAATAACATACCTTTCTTCCTAATCTTCATGTAGATATTTCCTAAACTAAGTTCTCACTATTTCAATATAATTAACACTTACTTATGTCCCTTTTCAACCAAACATTTCTTTAATTTCAACAATTTTTCAGTATGCCCAGCAAGAAAAAACCTCCTACCATAATTACCGGACCACAATTCAACGGTACAACTGCCTTGGACGAAGAAGACTTTACAGTCCTAGCAGTTGAAGGTTTCGGAGAACAAGCTGAAACTATTTTAGCTGACATAAACTGGTCTGAAGAAATAGTCTGTCTAACTGGTCTAAGATTATCTCCAGACAACAGCAGAGTTTCTAACAGCGCAGTTTTCCTGCTAGGCTCTATCTTCGCAGACAAACGAGTGAATATAACTAAACTATGGAACCTAGACTCCCAAACCCATCTTTCTCTAACAGTCTCTAATGCCAGCATCTTCAACTTCCCTAAGGGGGCCCTTTTCTCCGACTATGTAGACTCCTCAGCTGTAGCCTTCAAAGTGTCCCAGCACGGCTCTGAACTAAACCAGTCCACCCTAGCAAGCTTGAATTTCCAAGGTTTTAGTCTCAGAGCTCACCTAGCCCCTGTCAGCGCTACTAATATCAAACTCTGGATCTCCCTGCTGCCTCTACCTAAGCTCACACTTCTAGAGACTCACCCGCTTGCCTCTAACCCAAGTTTCCCTGGCTTCAAAGTTCTGGAAGGCGACATCCCTCTAGCCCCCCTCAGCTCAGGCCCCCCCCTTTCCAAAGACTGGGGCTGCCCCATCACACCAGCAATCATTCTTGGCTCTGATTTAGACCCTGATGCTGTTCTCCCCTCCAACCAAGCTCTTATTACCGCCCTAGCCGCAATGCTCAGGAAACCAGTCAGACCAGAGCTTCACGCTAACGGTTCCAAACTTGCCCCTCGCCTAGAAGAAATCCTAGAACACGGTTCTTCAGTGCTGAAATCTCTAACCCCTGATCACCTATGGCCTTTACCAGGCAACACCAGTCTAGTGGCTAGTTCCTCCACAGGTAGTTCACTGTTACTTCTACCTCTTTTATCTCTCAGGCTTGCTTACTTCCTCTCTTACAGTAAACTCTTCAACCTCTTTGTTTTAAACTTAATTTATTCTTTGTGGTTTAAATTCTCTGCAAGTAAACCTAACTCAACTTCCTTTTATGATTTAGTTTCACTCTTCCTTAAGCTGTTGATTTAATGTACAAACTTAAACTCTTTTTGCCTATCTATGTTTATGAGTGTTTCAACTCCTCAACTTTCTGGCTTGTTTACTTTTTAAGCTACAAACTTGATTTAAAGCTCACTAAACTTGAGTTACTCACCTCCAAAAACTTGATGTATAAGTTTTTACAGTGACCAACTAAACATGCCTTTTTCTTTCCAGCTACTATTCATTTATAAGCACACACACAACCTTCAAGCTTGACTTATAAGCTCGCCTACTTTCCCTAAAGCTTGATTTATAAGCTTACTAAACTTGATTTATAAGTTTACAGTAACTTTAATTATATTCTAGCCTACCTGGCAATTGTCAACTTTAGACTGTTTATTTATTTACAAAACTTGATTTATAAATTCCCAAACTTGTTTTAAAATTTTAGTTACAATTCCTGAACTTCTTGTTTGTTTCTTTTTCAGCTACAAACTTGATTTAAAAGCTCACTAAACTTGAGTTACACACCTCCAAAACTTGATTTATAAGTTTTTACAGTGACCAACTAAACATGCCATTCCTTTCCAGCTACTATTCATTTCTTTGCTTGATTTATAAGCACACACACAACCTTCAAGCTTGACTTATAAGCTTGCCTACTTTCCCTAAAGCTTGATTTATAAGCTTCCTAAACTTGATTTATTAGTTTACAGTAACCTTTAATTCTATGCTAGCCTATCTGGCAATTGGAAACTTGTTCTATCTCTTAGATTACAAAACTAGACTTAGTTTGTATTTCTTAAATTAAAATCAAGACTTAAACTGTACCTCTAAAATGAAAAAGCTTGACTTAAACTAGTGTCTTAACTTATTAAACATGATTTATAATCTAACATAGATTAAAACTTGATTATAAATACTCATTAAAATCCTTCCTTATTCAAAGTTATAATTAACAACCTAACACTTCAGTTCTTAGCAAAACTTGAAATTTAAGCTAGGAAACAATTTGAACGAAATTTACGGTTTAATTATTACAAAAAATTTAACCTACAATTTACAATACATTATAAGCTTGCTTCACTTTAATCATGCTTCCATTAGTTTCTATCCAACCATTAATTTGTTTCTCTTAAAGTGAAACGTTACCAACCAAGACCAACTCTAGGCGTGACCAAATATGGCCCCAAGGGACTCTTCACTAAGGATTCATTCACCGGAAACCTATCAGTGCACTGGAAAGAGTACTTGGCAACAATCGCAAATTACTCTTTATCAAAGAAGACCTGGAGTGCATACAAAACAGCAGGGAATCTTCTCATACAATGTCAAACTGAAACCAAAACACCAATGACTTTACCCCTGAATGATGACAAAGTCCTAATCTTTGTAGCCTGGCTATTATCCCGCGGTCTACATTCCCGAACCATCAGCACCTATTTATCGGGCTTACGCCAGGTACACCTTGCTTTTGGTTTGGTGTTTTTGCCATTCCTCCCTCCAATGAATCATCAGCTGTTTAGTTTTAAACCATCAACGGAACCTCTTTAATACTGTTATACACAAATGAAAATAATGCAAAACTAGAGTAAAGTGCAACCCAGAAAAGCTTCTTTAAGTTCTAAATATTTTTGTTCAAAATAAAAATTCCGTTTGGTTTGGCAACTTTTTTCTGCAGAATCTTTCCTACTTTCTGAAAGGTTTTACATCGGTATGTTTAAGGATATCTACTCGATATAAAGCAATATTTATTTATACTTATTTTGACTCAAACTCTTAACTAAATGAATATAGAAAAAATATGCCAGTTTAAGAAAGTTTTAGATAGATATTTGCAATCATCCAGAACAAAAATTTTTATCAAAAATTAAACTTTAAAAGTTTTATAGAAGTTTTTAAAAATATGCGAAAAAAATCATTTCTGACACCCCTAGGCTTTGTACGCCAATATAATTCACCAAAACCATACTGCAGTCCTTCAATTATCATACAGGGAAATTTTCATCTTTCTAAACATCCCAACGAAAGATTTGACAGGTTCTTTACAATCACTAAAGCGGCAATTTTGCGTGAAATAAAACCATTGGAACTAGATTTCATGGCCTGCACTTTGTACACTGTACAGACCGCACAAGAGAACTGGTTTAACTAAATTTACATAGTTCAACTACTTCTTGCTATTCATTGTACCTTGAACTTGTTTAATTTAACCTGTAAAGGGTTGGTGGCGCACACAGAGTTGTGATTGGGTAGTTGGTCAATGTTTGGAGGATTTCTAGAGGAGCAAACCGCGGCATTCCGTGCACAAACAGTGTACAACCTTCATAGAAATATGTCTTGTACAAAAAGATTACAACATTTAAATAAATATTTCATGTACAAACAATGTAGAATCTTTATATAAATATTTCATTGTACAAACCATGTACAACTTTTATTGAAATATTTTATGAACAAACTGTATACAATATTTATAAAACTATTTCATGTAAAAGTATACAACCTTTAAACAAATATTTCATGTACAACTTTTATAGAAATATTCTATTTTCAAATAGTAGCAAGAAAGAACTTATTAAATAGTCCATGCAGAAACAATGTACAATTTAACAAAAATATTAAGTTACAAAATTACAGATAGAGAGTTAAAATTCCTGTTGAAAATCAACCAACATATGAACTTAAAAATGAGAAAGCAGAGGAACGGCGTTCTTTATGAATTAAATAAAGAACGAAATACAATGAGTTAACGATTTTATGATAAAATGAAACATGAGAACCGGAAAACATTGTAATCTTGTTTTTCTTTAAATCATTTAATGTCGCAAAGGATAAGTGTCATGCGCTGAGAACTCTCATATTGCGGATATACAGTCAGGGGTTGGAGGGAGCTTTGCTCAGGAAAGGAATAACTAAAATGAAGATTAGGAAATGTATAGATATTCGTAGATCCTCAAATTATAAAATGCCCACAGTGGATATCGAGATCAATCGATCGGGAATATGAATATCCAACATAAAAGTTTCCAGCTCTGAACATTTTTAAGTGATATTTCCTTTGCAACAAGAGAAAACTAAAAAATCCGCAGCGATAATACTTGAGTGAAATCAAGAGCAAAGACGATATTGATTCCAAAGTTTTCTGGTTCTCACTGTACACTAACAATACCTTGAGAAAAAGGTCCAAAAAGGCTTGACCAAGCACTCTTGGCCCACCCTGAATCTGAGATATTCCAATGGACATCATCCTTGGTTAGATCAAGCCAGTATTTACCTAAACAACATTTTAAAGGAATTCAGTCTTTGCCACAAACTCAAAAATTTCTAATCCCTACATCTTTTCTTTGCAATCTGATCGTGTAAAACTTTGATATTACAAACTTGTTTGATCTTACAAAATTTAAAACTTGAAAAATTTAAGGTCGACGACATTGGGGCCTACTGTTAATCCGTAAGTATAGTTTTACTTAATTCAAAAGCAATAACTAATTCACAAAAATATAAACATCTCTAGAGATTCTAACAACTATCAAAATTATTAAACCATGACAGAAAAATTTTCCAACCTAGCATTTAGCGTGTGAGTGAGTTCAGAAAATCTATATATATTTTCTTTTGTTCCAACTTTTTTGTGGCAATTCAAATGGCCCCAGACTAACAATCGTCTCCATGAGATCTCATCCTTTGTGGATAACCCTATACTAACAGTCTAACATACCTGTCACGAAATGACAATATCCATAGGATGTGTGGGTGTGTGGAACCATTTTTGGAGATCCTACTGTTCCACTTGTAAAGAATATCTGCATTATCTAAACAAAAAAAAGGAACGTAAAGAATGATATTTTAATCAAGATATTCTGCTAAAAATACTTTAAAAAGATCCTATAAGAACCGTCCAGAAAGATTTTCTTTAAACAGATATTATAAGAAAGATATCTTCATAAAGATACCTTTAGAAAGATAATCTAATAAAGAAACTTGAGAAAAGATACTTTTAAAAGAAACTTTAAAAATGAAACTTTAAAAAAGATATTTTGAAAATGGAAATTTCAAGAAAGATATCTTATAAAAGATATTCCATGAAAGAAACTTTAAAAAGGAAACTTTAAAATGGAAACATTCTGAACGAAAAGTGAAGTTATTAAAAAAACCATTAAAGGAAAATGTGATACAAAAGGGCCAATTTTTCCAGATTCTGAACTTGAGACTCTTGGATGTCGAGAATCGAGATCAAGCATTAATATTTTTTTGTTTTGTTATTAAAAAGATTTATTTAATCTTCGATATCCCTTCTGAGTTTTGTCAGTGGAAAACAAGCAGCCAATCAGAAGCCAGAACATTTTGGATTCAGCCAATTGCGAATATAACAAGATCAAGAAAATTCTGTTTATCTAAAATTGCCCGCTGTGGATATCATGACCAAGCTATCAGGTATCCGACACTAGTACAAAAAGAAAACTTCTCAGCTAAGACACTTCCAAGATTAGTTACCTCATCTTTCTGAGTCTTGATGGGAGTATGGATCTCGTCAGCTGATTGGAACAGCTGATCCCAGCTTAACCAACCCTCCTGCACCCGGTCACCATTTTAGATTTTACAAATCAAATTAGAAAAAGTGTTTGATTTAAAAAATATGCCAAGTAACATTCATGAAATGTTGCTTTTCTGCCAAATTTTTAAAGAATAGCCTAACTATACATTCTAAAAACGGCCACAAAGCTACGAGGTTCGGTGTTAAGTGTTCATATGAAGAATAAATGTTTTCCAGAAAAAGACCAAATGGAAAATATTGCTAAATATTCATTTCAAAACAAAATATGAAATAAAAAACAAAAATTTAGTTTAGGTGATATTTTTAAGTTATGAAAACGAGTTCTGTTTTAAACTGCGGATTATACTTAAAAACGGGAAAGTGGGATTTGTCTTGAAAACGTGAAAACGATTCAAATTCAGGATATGTTCGAAAATGGCAAACCTGACATGGTTTAAAAAGAACTCCTTTTAGAATTTTTATTTTAACATATAATATGAAATTGGAAATTGGAAATTGATGTTCTCGTCATGTTTAATAAAATGTTGGTTAAATAGTTTATATTGACGACTTTTACTCTGAATGTGGTCCGTGTTCCTAAAAACCCAATCGTTCAATTTGTGCCCATTTCTAACACTCAGTTTTAAACATGGGCCAAGTGTTAGTTTTGGAACTAATGTCCCCTGTAGTCTGTTTGTACATTTTATTTTGTAAACAAACCAGAAGGAATAAAAAGTAAATGTTTCATAATAATTTTTTGTCAAATAAATTGATGTAAAATTTCCGACAAATAATCTTGATTCACACTACAAAACATAAATTATAGTCATTGAAAAAAAATGAATAATATTCTTGAGAAACACTCAAATGAATTTAAGCCGCGTCTCAAATCCGCCAAAAACCAGTTTTAATCGAGCGCCGGCTTAAATCTTGAAAAGTTGAATCCAATTTTAAGTGGAGCCAACCATAGTTGTGCCGCGTCTCAAATTTAAGCCGCGGCTCAAATTCTTTAAATTCGGCCTCAGAGCTCTTAAATAAGTCTACTAAAAGGGACGGACAACGTAATTTATATTGACCAGGTGCATTAAAAATTTTTATGTTGGATTCACAAAAGCAACCCGTTAAACTTTATTTGATTAATAATGAAGAGATATCGTCTGTTTCCTTTTTTGAAGAGATTTAAGTTTGAAAAATTTTATTATTTTTTTTTCAGGGGTGCAAATGCGTAATTTTCACTTTTATAGAGATCTAAATTGAAATTATAATAAATGTTTCACCTTATCGTAGGGTTACTTTGTGAATTGCATTTGTTACTTTAAAAATTACAACTTAAATCCCTTCAAGTGCTTTTGATTATTTGTTAAATGTGTATTTTAATTGCGAAGATTCTATTTATCCTGTAACTATTGAACACTCGAGCTAATTAAATTAAATTTTAGTTGAATTCATTCTAATAATTATTTATGTTATAAAGTAAATTAATTTTTCTTCTCCGTTTGTTAGCGTGAGTTGTAATTAGCCCACATTACTATCTAACAAATGAATAGAACTCTATTATAGAGGAAAATAATTCATTAAAAGAAAATGTAAATTTTAAGCCATTTAGTTGGAAGAAAAGTTTAAAGGCAGATGAGATTTTACAATTTTTCATAATATAGTCCTGCATTTAAAATTTCTAAAATTCCTTCCCTTTTTTGATTTTCTTGGGAACCTTCGGAGAAGAGAATTCTCATTAAACTTTTTTGATTTTTCCCGGTCACTTTAAGGAAAGAATTCAAGCTGAATCACTTTTCTAACTTACCAGGAAACTAATCTAAAATCGATAATTTAACTTTTGCAGAACTTTCTGATGAAAATTATTGGAAAATTTCTTTTTTAAAGGAATTATTATCTGTTAGATCAAGTGAAATTGAATCTATTGTACCGTTATGTATACGAAATACATATACAATATAACAATATTTTAAGTATATCTAATATGGTGGCGTTCCTTGGTCCCACCAATCAGTATTTTTGCCTTCACTTGACCATCTATACCAATATTATCAACCTAAGAAGTGAAAATAACAGTATTGCCTAGTCTGTTTCGGTGATAGTTTGTTTGTATCCACTAAGCGTCAAAGCTGCTGAACCAAATGGCACAAATCCGCGAAATTTTTATTTGTTATTATCTGAAAAAATATGAAAAAAAGGCTTGCAGATAAAATAGCAAGAAAAGCAAATACAATGATGAATGAAGACGACTTTCTAGCTTAATTTTAATTTCTACCAGGCTTTTAACCAGCCGAAAAACGTAAACATAACAGCTGCTTTTTGTTTTCTTGTAAAATTATAAATTAAAATTTTTTGTTAGTAATCAAAGCATTGATTTTAAAAAGTCGTCTTCATTGTATTGCTATAATCTCCAACCACTAGACGTACATGAAAGTATATTATATAACATACAGAAAACATTTGAGAAATACAAAGACTCACCTTATGAGCGGTTTCTAGGTCTGCAATTACACAATCCGCCTTTAAATGTAATGTATCAGGATTGTTTTAGGTTGAGACAAATCATGACCCAAGAGTTTAAAATAAGAGTTTTAAGACGGCACACTTCATTCAAACTTACATGATTTTGCAATACTTTCTTCAGCCAGACGTAACAATAAAAACACTTTTTTGATATTAAAATTAGGGAACTAATTCATATCCATGTTGGAAATATTATATTCAAGAATTTGGCTATTTCAAATGATAAGAATAATGCTTAAAAATTGTTATTATACTAATTCATTGAATTATTAAAAAAAAAACATTCTCAATCTAAAACTCACCTTCCCCCCCCCAAAAAAAAACAAAAAAAAACAACAACAAGACTTTATGATCTTGCGAGTAGGACGTGGGGGGGNTGGGGGAGACACGGGTTTTTCAAGGTATGTTAATCTGATATATATTCCTTAGATGCACCAAGTCTAAGAAGGATATCCTTCTCCTGTAGCTGGGTAGTACCGGGTAGAAGAACGACCTTCTGCCTGAACAATATCGGACTGTCAGACAATTTCCAAATTTACAATATACCAATTTCCAATTTCCAAAGACAATCTCTCTAGAGATAATTTCCCAAATTTGCAATATACTTATTTCCAGTTTCCAAATACAATCTCTCAAGTGGCAATTTCCCAAATTTGCAATATACTAATTTCCAGTTTCCAAAGACAATCTCGCAAGTGGTAATTTCCCAAATTTGCATTACACTAATTTCCAGTTTCCAAAGACAGTCTCTCAAGTGGTAATTTCCCAAATTTGTATTATTCTAATTTCCAATTTCCAAAGTCAATCTCTCAAGTTATAATTTCCCGTATTTACAATATAATAATTTCAAATTTCAAATCAATTTCTCAAGTAGTAATTTTCCAAATTGCAATATACTAATTTCCAACTTCCAAAGACAATCTCTTAAGTTATAATTTCCCAAATTTACAATATACAAATTTCCAATTTCAAAAACAATTTCTCAAGTGGTAATTTCCCAAAATTCCAATTTACTAATTTCCAACTTCCAAAGACAATCTCTTAAGTGGTAATTTCCCAATTTTGCAATAAAATAATTTCCAATTTCCAAATACAATCTCGCAAGTGGTAATTTTCCAGATTTTGCAATATACTAATTTCCTGTTTCCAAAGACAATCTCGCAAGTAGTAATTTCCCAAATTTGCATTATACTAATTTCATATTTCCAAGGACAATCTCTCAAGAGGTATTTTCTCAAAATTTCATTATACTATTTTCAAAATTCAAAGACAATCTCTCAAGTGGTAATTTCCTAAATTTACAATATACTAATTTCCAAATACAATCTCTCAAGTGGTAATTTCCCAGATTTGCAATATACTAATTTCCAGTTTCCAAATACAATCTCGCAAGTGGTAATTTTCCAGATTTTCAATATACCAATTTCCAGTTTCCAAATACAATCTCTCAAGTGGCAATTTCCCAAATTAACAATATAGTAATTTCCAATTTCCAAAGCAAATCTCTCAAGTGGTAATTTCCCAATTTTGCATTATACTCATTTCCAATTTCCAAAGACAATCTCTCAAATGGTAATTCCCAAAATTTACAATATTCTAATTTCCAATTTCCAAAAACAATTTCTGAAGAGGTAATTTTCCAAATTTGCAATATACTAATTTCCAATTTATGGACATTCCCCCCCCCTCTCAGTATCTTTCGCCTCCCACTGGCCCCACCCTCATTTGACTCCAGCATGATCATGATTGTGGACCATATTTTATCTAATTTTGTCAATTAAGAAATAATACCAAATTTTTTCTTTGGCACATTGCGCATCATCACTAATAGAATTTCTAACTATTTTCTCGTTTTCAAAATAAAGAAATTCTATTATTCTTAATTTATCCTCTCAAAAAACCTGTTTATATGCTACTTCTGGTGTCGTATCGTTTGCACTAATGATTGATCGGACTAACTACATTCGCACTAACGTTCATTCGGACTAACGTTTTATTTGAAGATTAGGTTAGGTTAAGACAATTTCTGGGCCGAGCGCTGAGGCTAGAACAGGCTAGGGGGCCGAGTGCCGAGGCTAGGACAGGCTAGGGGACCGGGCGTTGCGGCCACAAGTGTTACTGATCGAACTGATCAGCTGACTTTAGTGCAAAAGTACGTTAGTTCAATCGGACATTAGTGCAAACGATATAGCATCTTACTTCTCATGGGTATTACAAACTAAAATACATATACCATTTAAGGTTAGCAAAACCTGACAACCTAAGAAGAATAATAAGAAATGTAAAAAGGATTGTATCAGACTATTAAGACTATTGTAGACTATCATGGATTATGGACAAACGAAATATAGTTTAGTACTGCCAGGAACTATGTACTACTTAGGAAAGCACAGACCTACGAATAAGTGACTATTTAGTGGACAAATATGACTAGTGGATGAAGTACAAAAACTGCTGTAGACTGTAAGAGGGGACTTTTGTATACATAGTGAATATGACTATAATCTTCTCAAAATCAAATGCCGCTCCCCCTCACAAAAGTATTGATGCGAAACTGCAACTCATTAAAGGTCACTTGAAATGTCGTCTACAATCCCAATTATAGAGAAAAAATGTTGATGAAAAAATGCCCCTATACAAAACTGATCATCTACCTATCTGATATGCGATGCATGCAAAATATGTTTAGAATCATCATGAAAATACATTAATATTCAAGATATTAAAATTTATTCTACAAAGTAGTTGATTCGAATAAGTCGTTATCAAATCTAGTTTTCTGAAAACTATGTGGAAACTTTTTTGTTGTCAATCTCAGGATTGATTTCCATATTATGCAGACTTATGGATTAACTTAATTCTCTAAAATATCCCGTGGTGGCTATGCCTTGCAGGGATAACTTACCAAGGGAAACAGCATTGATTATTAAATTGCCCACATTGGATATCGAGATCAAGCGTTATTAAAGATAAACAATATTTCTTACATAAATTTATGATCTCAGATCTGAATTAACAATTACAAAGTAACTAACCCATTAGTAAGAACTTGCATATAAATATAAGTGAAAAATAAGGAAATTCAGATAACTGAGAATTCATGAGATGAGTCTGCATAACTGAGGTTTACTTGGTATAAATAAACCTATTAGATATTTTTTGGCTGTATATCAGTAATTTAACAATATGTTGGAATGTACAATGTACATATCTAACTAACCTATTTGTAAGAATTAAACTTACAAAATAATACCTTATACAAGCAAGGTTTATTATCCACCATTCGGGTACCCTGCAATAAAATAGAGAATATTATAATTAGCGGAACAATTAAATGTTATATTTTTAAATAACAAAAACAATGTTCCACGATGGCTGCCTTTTTTAAAGGAAACTTTGATTTTTTTAGGAAACATTGTATAAAGCTTAAAGCTCATTTTTTGTGTATATTCCTTAATCTTGGAAAAATTATTTTTTGTTACAAAAATCTTTTTATTTTCAAAGAATTTTCAAAGAAAACCTAAGCTGGCTTAAGAGGACAACTCAAGTTATGATCTTAAATAGTGGATGTAATGAACCTGAAGAACAACAATTGTGTAGTGCTAACAGACCCCTTTTATAATTAGTATGATGATTTCCAATATACCGGTAAAATAATTTGCTTTAAAACAACATCAAATACACAAAAGATTGCTAAAATGTCGTCTTTCTTTTCTAAAGTTGTATGGGTCTCACTGCACAACAAAGAAACATTTCATAAACAAAAAAAATAATCGAAAAAATTCGCTTTGAAAACGATAGCAATCTGTTTTCAATTCAAATCTGTATTTGATTCCCAATCTGTATTTGAATCCCAATCTGCATTTGAATCTCAATCTGTATTTGATTCCCAATCTGTATTTGAATCCTAATTTACGTATCAATTTCCAAGTTTTATTTCATTATTATTTTGTATTGTACTCCCTTCATAATAATAATAATAATAATCGCTGTCAATAAAACTTTAAATTCGAAATTATTTAAAAGTAAAAAATATAAGTTACCTGTGTCTAGAAAGCAATAATAATAAAAAATATTAAAACATCAATAACGAATTTTTAAAAATGGCTGTGGTACAAATTTTAAACTGTTCGGTCAATAAACCATTTTGTGCCATTTGATCAACATAAGGTTAAATCTTTGTAAATGTAAACGTTAGATGATTGCCACGAAATCGATTATATTTTAATGGAAGGACAAAAAATGGCCGATTTTAGTCTCGTTTTAAATACTGAGATTTCAGCCATCATTTCTAAATGCAACAACTAAGATAAGAAATTTAACTTGAAATTATGTATGGAGGGACCAGATTTTATAAATATCAAGAAACAGTTGAATCACAAACCGTCGATTCAAACAATTATTTTGTGTGCCGGGTCATGCTGAAGCAAAGTGGTTCAATTTGTTCTACGTGGTTCAACTACTTCTAACATTTATTAAATCTGGTCGACTTTAATTTACCTTGGCAAAATACACATTGCAGATTTTACTCCCAGGTTTGCAAACACATTCGCACCCTTCTGACAAGCAACGTTTAAATCACTGAAAAAAAAAAAATAAAATGTTTTTTTTTCTCTTAAAGAAAAAATCAAAACATTATATGACTGACAGGTTAAGATTTAATATTATCTTAAAAGAATTGAGTTTAAGTAACATGTACGACTATTTGTAATAATTTAATTTTTCCCATTCCTACACAAAAATATTTTTAAAATCTTTTATAGATTTAGTCAGAAAAAAAATATTTAACAATAAAATTAAATGAAGTACTAAATATAATTTTGAGCTAGTTTGAAACTATTGCGGTCTACTTTGAGAAGGGACAAGGTTTCGAGTTTCGAGCTTAAAGTCCAATAATTTACGCTTTAATCGCCTTTTTTTTTACAATTCTTAAATTACATGACAAAACAAATAAAAATACTATTCTACATACTAGATGCATGTATACAAACAGGTTGAGAAAAATATTGATCTTATTAAAAATTCATTTTAAAATCTCGCAGATTTATACAAATACTTTTAGCTAAGGTCGCTTGTTTGAGCTTTTCTTTATTTTAATTGTGAAGACGACATTTTGAAGAAATCTGCGAAAAACATTAAAAACTGCTAAGAGAATAATGATGACGAAATAATCGTTTCTACGGTTCTACTATGACCGGTTTTCTTCGATAAATTAGTTTTAAAAATATTTTCATAAACAGCAAATTAGTCTACAAATAATTTTTATTACATTTTAAGTCGGGATTTTTAAATAATTGTAAAAAAAACTTTCTTCTTGTGACTAAAACAACAGGTGTAAAATTAAAAACGACCTTGTGCTCTTATTTAATAATTGTACACAAATAGGTTGTCAAGTACAATAGTCGGCAACGCAGAATGCGTACACTTTCAGGACAGCTGTTTAAACGTCATAAGTGTCAACTCAAATTTTCTGTCTGACAAAACTAAACATAATAGTGATATTTTTAGACTAAAGTGCTTATCTTTTAGTGAAATTAGTGCAATTTTATGTGTTCTTTATTTCTGTTTTTACACTTTTTCATTTAACGTTCTATAGACTAAATAACAGGGTTGAAACTGATATTGTACGGAACCCTTTAACATTGTAATTCGAAAGTATAACGTTAAAACATATTTCAGAAATGTTTAATGATATCTTTGGAGAAGTGCTCTGGAAAGGTCTAATCGAGGATAAACCCCCAGATCCAGGGGAAATACAGGCAACAAGAAACGGTAATTTTCTAATGAAATGTCGTCTTCTAAGGATATTTAATTTTTNTTAGAGGGCTGGGGCCTGGACGCCCCCCCCCCCTCCCTCAAACTATTTAGTTTACATAGATATACAGTGAAAAAATTAAGCCACCAAATGAAGTAAAAATACTCTATCTGATTTTGAGTTGTAAATATTTTTTTACGTATTCCTACAAAGACGACATTTACCTCCACCGAATCTTGGAAATAATACCAATTAGAGGACATGTCGTCTTTCTTTTTTCATTTGACACGTATGACGTTGTGCGCAGTTGGTCGATTTTTCTGTTGCCATCTATTGTACTTGACAACCTATTTGATTGTACACCGTAAAAATGTCTCATTGGTATCAAATAAATCTTAAAGTTTTTCTCTACAATACTACACTTTCAGCTCAACTACTATGCCTAGCCGGTCTCTCCCTTTAAACGTAGACCAGTATTTCAATTTAATAATCAAAAATCACAAAGATAAAACTTATGCTAAAGGCGAAAACTTGAAAAACCAAATAAAATTGAATTCTATAAATATACATTTATCTCCTTTCTGTTAAAATGATTGAAAATAGCTAAATTCTTAACTTTCTTGCTGCTTCTTAAAGGATACTTGAAAAATTCAAAAAGCTGATTTTTTAATTTGATGTTCGTTTCTAAAAAATGCTTAGCTTTAGTAAAAATGTAATATTGGGAAAGGGGCATATGGATTTAGTTCATCTAAAGATTTTATTGACTAAGATACAAATACAATTTTAGGCAGATTTTATGGAATTTATGGACTATGATAAAATTTGATGGAAGATTTTATGAACTAAGATACAATTATACCAGATTTTACAGACTAGGATACTATTTTTAGTAGATATTATGTGTCGAAATGTTCCTAATTGGCATTTTTGGGGGGATGTAAAGAGTATACTATGTTCGCTGATATTTATCAAAGAAGAACCCTTGTTAAAGTAGAAATCTGACAATAGTGTTCAGATTTACCTATAGGATAGTTTTAACTCTGTTCCATCTGGGTGTATATACCAAAAAGCAGTTCTATCCCCTGCTTCATCTGCAAACTTCTCAATAACATCCACTAAAAATAATTTTTTTTCTAAATTTTCTTCTTATTTGTTTACCATTTAATGATTAGTAAGGTTTCAATGACCATTGAATATGCACTGTTTGTAAATGTGTGTTTAGAGAGAGACTAGTGTTTTTTTCGATGATTTTGTTGAATTTTTTCATCTATATCCGGATCCGTGGATCTGTATATATGCGGATCCGGATCCATTGAGCTAAAATGTTGGGGATCCAATGGACCCGGAATCCGGATATTAAGCAATGCAAATAAAGTCTTTGTATCAACAATCATGTCAACTTGAGTGTTAGCCACATCAACATCAATAAATGATAATATGCTTTAACAAAAAAAGTATTATAAAAAATCTGTTTCATCGACACCAACTGCAGCAATTTCATCTTACTCTTTATCAGAAACATCAATATCACAACATATACATACTAAAGATAAAAATCAGTGTCAATAAAAACATCAAAATCGACATTGACTAGAATAAGATTAAATTCAACATTATCACCTAGATCTGTATTTATCATTACTTCATCTAAAAATATAAAACATTGTGTTTATCTTTCGGGTTTGGTTTGATAATGTTGTCGAAAAAATTGGAATTACATGGATGAATTTAATATACAGAGTTACCCACAAAGGATGGGACTTTAGAGACGATTGTACTATATCCAACTACATCCAACTATATCCAACTATATCCAACTATATCCAACTATATCCAAGGCCGAATAATTAATTTAACCTTGGGATTGCCACAACTTAAGAGTTTTCGGTCGTCTTTTCAGTCTCATCTTTTTTAAGTAACCTTGTACACTGCACGCTGCAGGGTATAAACTCACAAGAATTCTTAATTAGATTTTAAAATAACGGTGAACTGAGAAGTTAAATTAAGTTAGTTAATTAAAGAAACCTGAGAAGTTAAAGTGCTCCGGAACATCCCACTTGAAATCCTAGAAGAAAAATTTTTTAATTACAAATATGAATGATGTAAAAAAACGTGGGACCCGGACATAGTTTGAATGGACAGTAAGCATAGTTAATAGAAACAGTACAATAGTTTAATAAACATACCTTGACAAGATCCTCGTAATTATAACTATTCCCACTGATGGGAGATTCCCTGATCACATATTTGTAAATTATATATATAATATATAAGACCAACTTGGGAACCCACCGCTGCCACGGTTACTAAAAGTTACTTCAACCGTTTACCCGCACTTGAACGATTTTACCGTGAAACTAAATTTTTGCTATTAAAGTCGACATACTCAATCTTAAAACCAAGCTAAAACATTCCCGTGGGCCTCCCCAGTTCCAAAATCAAAAATCGGGTTAGGGGTTCCTGAGTTTTGATCGGATAAACAAACAGACAGACAAACAGAGATTTAGATTGATTTAGATTTTCTTGATTTAGATTTTCTTTATTTCATACCAAGAAAAAAAGAAAATTTAGTTTTAAAGGGACTTAAAGGGACTGCTAGACGTAACTTTAAGTAATCTTCCAATTAAAGTGAGTCATGACATTTCCCGATTCACAACGGAACCCTTTATACCTTTAATTGATCAATGTTGTGAAATATATCGTCATTTTTATAGCTTGAAAAGTGTTCCGTTCCGAAGTCAAATTCTGAAGTAACTTGAAGGAGAAACCACGATTAAAAATAGTCAATTTGAAGAAGAGACGATATAACTAAATTGTAAGTGCCCCTCTAAAAATGGCGAGTAACTTAAAATTATGTCTCTGGTCACTTTAAAAATGAAAACTGAAAAATGTGCGACCCCTAAAAGTTCATTTTGTTTTCTCATAATGTCAGAAAATTGTTACATGTAAACTACATTTACATGCTAAACTTTACTTTAAACAAGTTGATAAAGCGCCCTGCAAGTTTTGTATTTACTATTTATATAATTACATTTTCTTTTCTTTTTATCAGGGGTTAAATCTTTGAGCAATTTTTTTTTTGATAAAAATGCTCAAATTCATCTTGCTCCAGTCCTCAAATTTTCTGTATTGCAATTTTAAAAAAAGAAATAAAACTTTAAATCTTTTTGTAACATATATATATAACATATAATTTTCCTCAGATTTTGATTGAACTTGACAAGTGGACTTGTGCTCAAACATCTAGAAATAAAAATTATAATGCTTAACAGAATTTCTGAATATTTTTGCCAATAAAATCTGAAAACGAGAAAGGTCGCCAGAGAAATTAAACACTTTTTACAGGCTCGAATTTTTTATTTTTAAATCTAAGCATAATGTCACTTTAAAATCGGCGAAATCAAAGGTTGAACTTTTAATATCTAAGGTCTACTCCATCAGGTTTGAAATTATAGAGGTTTTAGATTTTGTGGCGAGTCTTCAGTTCCTTATAAACAATTTCATTGTTGTTAAAATAAATTCATTAAAACATATATTCTTATTAAAAATTGTCCAAAATAATATTATTATTGAAATTAATTGCCGCTAAATGTTAATATCAAAATATTGAAAAACCTTTTTATCTCAAAACTAATCCCAATTAGCTGACGGCCTCATTTTTTTAAAGTAAGAATGGTTTTGACATTTAAAAACACATCATTAGCCGTACGTTTTCATTTTTTAGGGGGAGGGGGGAGGGACGATTAAGGCATTACTTTAATTATAATTGGAATACTTGCTTTATAGTAGAGTTTAAAACAAAATACTCTTTTACTGTGAGTAGAGTTGTATGGGTGTTAGAGATAAATAAGAAATATTTTTAACAAAAATTAGCTGTAACATCTATTTTATCCTCTAGATTAGTATTCTTGTAAGCGTAGTGACCAGGAGGCTGGTAGGTGGGATCTAACGCCTTAATAAATAAAATAAATGGGGAGAAAAATGGCTGTACTCCTGGATGACTGGTTAACAGCATCTGAGGGGCTTGGCCACTAAGGTGCCATTCCACAGAAGCCATTTTAATAATCTTTTAAAATCTGAAATTAAATTAATTAAAAAATATATATATTTTTATCAAGTTTATTTAAATCACATGTCAGAAAACGCAGTTTTATTCTCAGCGGCCCAGGATAAATAGAATTCAATCTTTTTAAGTTGAACTTTCAACAGTTTTGGATCTAAATCTGGCAGTTTCTGAGCAAACCTGGAGGGTTTCTGGTTCCTTGAATTACCAGATTTAACCAGTTTTATAGCGGATTTGTACTGTTCCCTTAGTTCAGACAAACAAGCTGAGATCCGGCAAAAAATCAATTTATAATTGAGGATATAATTCCATCCAATACGATCCCAAATTGTGATTGATACATATTAAGGGCAGAAATTAAACATGTTGTTATTGTAAATAATTAGAAGTATGATGTCCAGATGCAGCAAAAATCAACACTGCAGAATGCAAGGGAGTGTGTACTGTGTATTTTTCTGAATATCATAGTTTATCTCTGAAATCTTATATTTACTTCTCTTAACGCCCAAATTACAGTACATGAAGTGTAGTACATGTACGTAAAAAACTTGCCGAAGTTAACAATGACACAGAAAGTGTATTTTAATGCCCCTAAATGTACTTTCAAACCCGATCCAATTTGGGACCAAAATCTGGATTATATGGACCCCTGCAGTGGTGAGGGGTGTAATTCTTGAAAATATAAACCCCTTTAGTTGTTCTTTAGATGTTTTGTAGACAAATATGGTCGAGAGAAGCCGTGATTAAAACATTTTATTTCTCGAAAAAGTAGTTTTTCTTAAAACTTTGCAGAGCGTGGTTAATGGTTATATTACATAATTGTCCCAAGGGACAGTAACTTTACCACCCTCTGTTGGGGTAATCATAGGTTGGTAATGTTGGTCAAAAGGCGGTAAAATGAAAATATAGAACAATAATTATACGTAATCTAAATAATCTTCTGGATAAAAAATAACACAAAATTTAATGTAATAAACTTTTCTTTAAAATCTAATGATAAAAATTATTTTACAAAACTTCTTAATTTTGAAAAAAAAATAAAAAAACTTATTTTTTATAGTCCAACCCCAGAAGTAATAAAGATATAAAATTTTGGACCTGTAAAATTAACTATTTTTGATAATTTGCTTTCCTAAAAGATAATATTGATTGTCGTCTTCGCATGGTCCTTTAACAATCTGATACACATCCTTCTTCACGGACCTCGAAAATTCTGAAGAAGACATCATAAACAATTATTTTGAGGAAATCCACCATAATACTTTCATGTATATTTGGCATAAAACGGGGTTAAAAAATAAAAATTCCTTCTCGCAAAATGGTATTTTCATGCGTACAAAAAATGAAATATCTTAAAATATACAAAATTCGGTCTCATCCTCGAGGTTGAAACTTATAGGTTTCCCAGAGTTCACAAAGGGTGAAACTAAATTAACGACATGAAACTTTTGAAGGATAATACTGAATATGCTACTCTGTGTTTAATGTATAAAAAATGAATTTACTGAAAGAAAAAAGCTGCATAGAACCATTTGTGTGAAACAAGGCTGAATAGATTCCGTCGTCCCTGAAGCCTCATCCTTTGTGGGTAACCCTGCCTGTCATGAATCTTGAACAGGTGGATGATAAAGCGATAATGTGAAAAGGGGATGATGGAGTTGGCACATTTGCTGTAGGGGGGTTTTTAGATTGTTTAGTTTTCCCATTTTAAGGATTCCAACATTTTGGTTTAATAACCTTGATAATTCCATTTAATAATAAGCGAAGAAAAAGATAAAAAAGATGATAAAAAAAGAAAATATTTTGCCCGGTCTTTAAAGAACCGGTAAGCGGCGTAAAGACCTTTCATGCAAAGATGGCAATGTCCGATTCAGAACTGTATTCTTAAAAGCATTGTCTGCTCAGTATCAATTAGATATGCATGTTTAATGTTTATTGTAATCGCGTTTTTTATTATTTAAGCATTTCTTGCTTAAAGGTAACAATAAAGAAATTCACAGAAAAAAAAACTTTCTAGTCAGAAAAACGACGTTATCTTTCACATTGTCGACCAGATTAAGCTTTTAAGGGTAAGGGTAAATTGGGCATTTTCATCTTCGCATGGAGAGTAACTTAAAATTACGTTTATTTTATCAAAATGATGTCTTTTGCCTAGAGATACGGCCAGGTGAGGGTTGAGGTTGACCGCACTCGCCGCTGCTTCAACAGCTGTATCCGCCAGGTCATAGTTTACACCCTAGCAATAGAAATACAAGGATATATATATTATGAAGAATTGAAATGAAATGGATGAAAAATGAAAACAAATGCTAAATTCAAAGCAGATTCCGTAAAAATGAGAAATATAAGAAATGTTTTTACATGAGAATAAACAAACTCTGGTCTGAGTTGCATTTATCACTTGAACTTTGGGCCAGGGGGGTTTACAGTTACATTGAAAACAATTCTATATATATATATATAATATTTCAGTTTTTAACTTCACATTTTTATTAAATAAAGAATTATACTAAACATAATGTTTCACGTCTATCATGACGATCCTCAGTAGTTACAATTCTTTGAACATTTTATATTATATATACATATTTGTTTGTACATATTTTAGCAATAGCCGGCCAAACGGCTGGACCAAATTAGCTAAAATTTTTGAGGAAAACCATAGGTGGGGGTGACAGGTTTGAAAAATTATATTTTTTTATTCCACATGCAGCGCTAGGCACTTCAGCTAGTATAAATATATATACACAGCTAATGAATGTCAAACATGAAACAGTGTCCAGCCATAACAGATATTAATAAACAATTTTAAGAAGATATATATATGTATATATATATTTTTTGTTCAAAGAATTGTAACTACTGAGGATCGTCATGATAGACGTGAAACATTATGTTCAGTATAATTATTTTTTTAATAAAAATGTGAAGTTAAAAACTGAAATATATATATTTGTATGTATTTAGTATATACATGTTAGCTATAGCTTGCCAAACGGCTGGACCAAATTTGCTGACATGTTTTGAGGGAACCCGGGGGTAACATATGCTAAAATTTTTCAACATTATTTTTTTAAAGTATCTCATAAAAACCAATTTAACTGACCTTTAATGAGTTCGCAAGAGATTGAACAATATGGACAAATTCCAAACTACAGTTAGAATAGTCACCATAATGAAACCTTAACAAGATGTATATCTCATAGACTCAATTTTCAAGAACACAATGGTTTACTTTACGGATATCACAAATATACTAAGAATAATACTAAAATCACTAACAGGTTCACAAAGAAAAAATTCCAATTTAAAAAGTAAATATAACTTTTTTGTTAAAAAAAAATATAAAAAATATTAAATTAAACGAATGTGTGAGAGAGAGGATTAAAAAGTGTATAGTCTAATTCCTCCTCAAAAACTTAATTATGTACGACCAAGGATTTACGATGTCTTACCTGACTGCGTAAGCGAAGGCGTAAACTAGATTAAGAACTCCGTACTGTATGAACTGCGACGGTTTCCCGCTAAATATCTCATGAAATTTTGGAATATTTTCCCATATTGCTGGACAAGATTTTTTATAATCCTCGTTCCTGGGTGCATCTAACTCTTGGATTTTTGGACACTCGTATCTGAGCAATAAACATTTATTTTGAAAATATAACTTCTTTTATTAAGAGCTGCGTCGTTTTACATCCTAAATACGTATCAAGCTAAGGTATATGGAAATTAATTTCATATTATTTCTTTTTCCCTCCTTATCGGGGTCCTTGGCAAAAAAAGTGAAAAAGGGACGTTTTTCAGGCTTTTCATCGACGTTCAATTCATTTAAAGTTTACAAAATCTCTTCAAAATTACTTTTTCAGACAATACCTACTCAGTCATGCAGTTTACTTCGGGTTTAGATTTTTTGCCACAACATGTCTTACGACTGTTTAGAAATATCACAAAATTTGGGGACCATGCCATTTACGATTTAAGAATATCACAAAAAACGTTACAAAACTGAGGTGTTGAAACTACAATTAAGTTTGACTTGTAGACCTGAAAATGCACTTAATTTTGACGACTTTTTAAAGTTAGTAAAACATATGGAAAGATGACCAAAATGTAACTGCCGGCTACTAGCGAGTCGGTCAGATTGCTCCAATAATTATTTTGACCTCACAAATAAATTCCTAGTGCCAAATTACCTATGAATCGACATACAACATGTAAAATCTGTGCTAAGATGACCTATAATGTAATGGTTGGCTACTAGCACGCCTATCAGAATTCTCCTAAGTCTATTTTGACTTCGGACATGAATTTCTTGTCCCAATTATACTATAGTTTGATGTATCTCATGCTACTCTTATTCTAACTTAGGCCAAACTTAGCACATACGTATTAAAAAATATATTCATCTATAGCGGGCGCGCCCGGACATATAAGGCTTTGGAGGTGAATTTTTTAAGCGAATATTTGTTTCAAGGGTGTTAGGATAAATGTTCAAGTGTAATTAATGAATTTATGATTAAAGTTAAGATTGTCAAAACAGTCGAATTTTTTCACTAAAAGAAAATTTTTAGGAATGAATATTTTCAACAGTAACAATCATTTATTCATTATGAAATATCAACTATATTTGAATACATCTAATAGAATTCGACAATTTTAGGTAGTGATTTCTGAAACAGTATTTATCAAATTAATTAAATTATTTACGATCTGAATGGTATAATGCAACTCCGTGAATTTGCATGGACGTTTAAGTTTCTCCTGATAGATGCAACAGATAGAAGTAAAATTAGTAGCGATCAATATCGAACTAAATTCGACGTCAACCTATACCACCTTTCATTTTTCACGAACACTCCCCTTAAAAATGTATTTTCCCAATAACTCCACCCTATCAAAGATACTTAAATTGACAGAACTAAAATGCCAATGTTTATTTTCCTATTTATCCACCAAGGTGTGTACTCTGGTAAGAGATTGGTAACATCTCCCTTCTCCAGAAGTTGGTTAAACTCTCTTCTCTCCTGACTAGAGAGAAGGTTCCAGACCGTCTCTGTATCCTCAAGATCTATTCCTAACAGTTAAAAAGTCTAATTATACAAATTATATTTAAATGTTATGACAATGCTGTTTTAATAGTACATATTTTTTGAAAAATCATCCTTTTATAATAATTTTTCACCAGAAGTGTTTATCAGCTGAAAAGGTGAAATTAAATGATTTCTTGAAGAAAATCAATACATTTTTGGGTAAACAATATGAAACAGGCTGAAAAAACCTTTTTCCCAAAATTTTAAATCCCCTCCCCGTCAATAAACACCCCTGAATTATGCCTATTTTTCAGGACCAAGGTTCAGGGAACTGAAACAACCAGTAGTCAGAATTCTAAGCAGAGCTATTATTCTCTACCTTTTAATCGTTCTGCTAGATCGATATCGTCATCATCATCATCGGAATCAATATCGGAATCACTCTCTTCTCCGCTATTCGCCATTCTCTGGAGAATTTGATGCATTCGGGCTTTAGACTCATCACTCAAATTATCTCCCACTGCATTTCAAAATATTTACAATTACTTCCATAAACAATTCGTCTTCTATTCAACACCAGCTTGTGTGATAATAATAAGATATCAAATTTTTTATACATCTATAACATTAAAAAAAATAGAAAAATATTAGAAAATTAAAGAAAAATCTTTATAAACCTTCAAAATAAGCTCTATGAGTCTATGATATCAGTTTTAGAGAGAACGTAAGATTTGGTTTTCAGGTTTTGGAATTTTTATGATCGAAATTGTTGAAAAAAAACTTTTTAAGTGAAAAAAGATCAAGAACAATTAAAAAACTTAAAAACTTTTTTCCTCGAAAATTAAGACCATTAAGAAGTATTTGCTGTTTTTTCTATGGTAAAAGAGTTGATAAATATTTTTGCCTAATTCTGCTTTTACACATTCTTTATAGAAATCTTCGCTACATCGTTGGTGATTAATCGATTGATAGCACTTCAATCCACAGTAGTCCTTGTTGCAACGCGGGCACGTAAATGCACCGTCGCCTGTTGTACAAAATCCGCAATTTCGACTCATTTCGAGGATTTGCTCCAGTAGATTAGGGTGCCATTGTTTTCTGAAACAATAATACACTTTAAAACTAGATAATTTTCTTGCCATTTTATGCATGGCTGACTGATAACAAAATTCAACACTTATGATGTGCTCATGAACTAGATGGTTCAACCTAAACCTAGATACGGCTTGATTACAATCTTTTAGAATTTGAAAGATTTCGGATTGGTGATTCGACTGCTCAGAGGAAGGCTTTAGACTAAAAACAAGGTAAGAGGAAGGTAAATTTGACTGGCAACCTGGGTGGAAAAGTGGGATGGACGGAAGATATAACGGTTAGGTTAAGCGAACACGAAGGTTATTTCAACTGAAGATTTAGATTTTAATCAAAAGGGTTAAATAAGGAAAGTAAAGAGAATGTAACATTAGGAGAAGGAAAGAGAAGGTAAGAATAGGAGAAGGAAGGGGAAAGTGGAATAGGAGAAGTAAGGGGAAAGTGGAATAGGAGAAGGAAGAGGGAATAAGAATAGGAAAAGAGAGGGAAAGATAAGAATAGGAGAAGGTTAGAATAGGAGGAAGAAGAGGAAGGGTACAAAAAAGAACACATAATTTGAGATCTGGAGTTTATTTGGATGATCCTGGAGGAGGAGGGGGTGGACCATCAACCTAAACAAAAAAAGACAATTAGAAAAATTAAACATTTTCTTATTCTGACCAATTAAGTTTTTATAGATTTTGTTTTTATTATTTTGAAGTCGACTCTGCCAGGCCACTGTACACGGCAGGTTGAAAGTAAAAGATATGGAATATTCTAACCAATCAAAAAATGAATCCAGGTCATTAAAATTAAATCAAGATTTACTGAAATTTTAACAAATTAAAAATGTTCAAATTTCTATTATTGTTTTTGCTCTTTTTATTATAAACCATTCAGAGATTAGAAAACTTCAAATAAATTTTCATTAGTCGACTTGAATGTTGAGAGCAAAAAGTTTTTTAAAGCAGGTTTTAGTTAATATTTTCCCAAAATGTTGCGGATTTAACGAATACGAATCCTAAGCACTGAGCCCGAAATTTAAAAGAGTATCGTTGGACAAACTCCCTTTTCGGGGTCTTAAAATTTGTGAACATTTTGATTTCAGAGATTCGAAAAAAATGAGAATATAAACAAACTGAATTTCATAACAAAAATATTAATATTCACAAAACTGCCTAACCCCCCATTCGTGAAACCCGGCTTTTAAAATTGGTTTTTAGAACGATACCCTGTTTTAAGTTTTGGGCTCTACCGCGCCACTGTACAATTGTACGTGGCATGCTTAAAAGTAGAAAGGGGTAAAAAAGTTACCTTGATAACACGCTTCTCTTCTTGTTTCTTCTGTATTTTAGCCATGAGCTTAGCGTGCTCCAGTCTAGCCATCTCGATCTCAGCTAGCTTTGCCTGGAAAATGAGCAGATCAAAATGATATCATCAAAACATTTTCAAATAATAAAAACCAGGGGCATTATTAGGATACATCTCATGGGGGGGGGGGATTAATTATGGATTTTAGTCAAAGAGAATAGAACATATTCAGAGTGGAATTTACTAGAAAAAAAGTGTAAAACGGACATTTTGTTGTACTGTTTCCATACTGCAGGTGTACTTCACACATTTACGCTATATAACCTTTTGGGCCCTGGAACATCATTTTATAGAAAATCTAAAATTAAAATTAAAAGAAAACCAAATTATGAAATAGGCTGGATTCATAATTGACCTATAATCATTTAACATAGCCATATGCCTTTCACTTTACGAACTATGATTTTCCGTTATAACTATAAATCAAATGATGTTTTTTATTCACCTAATTCATTTTATAAAGTTTATTTAACAGCTTTAAAAAATTCGAAATTGAAATGGATATTCTAGGGAACATACTGTATTAATGTACTCTACTGCATATAATTTGTGAACATTTACTTGATTTGTAATCTTTGAAGGCTGAAAGGGACTGACAAAATTCATACCGAAGGATTGTCTAAATTCCACTCTAATATATATTCTATTCTCTTTGATTTTAGTGCACCCACTAATGAAAGAATTGCAAAACAAAATGTCAATTCAGCAATATAACCCTTAAGTTCTTGTTTTAGTAGGCCCCTCCCCCCTATCACATACAAACTCCGCCCTGTATTTTGTGACACACAAACACACATTTTTTTTGATGTTTAATGGTTATACCTGTCTTTTATCTGCGTGTTCGGCAATCCAGTGTGTTGGGACATAATTCTCCTGAACCTTGGGCTTCTTTTCCTCAACCTGATCAATATATTGGTCATTGTTCAATATCCGGGCCTTATCAGCTTTCTGGATCCGGTGTGGCGTTAAAAAGCTTCCATGCGTGAGATAATGACAGGGTAGTGTGACACTTATTAATAATTTGGAAACTTTCCCCACAATATTAAATTAAGGATGCATTGATAAACATCTGCTGAACGTAAACATATAGTTAAATTAGTTTTCAAATGTAGCAATACTAGAAAAGATGTAGAAAACGATATTTAGTCTTAAATGTCTTTTTTTCAAAGAATTAAAAAAATATTGATAAATTAACTTCTATTCCTTGCACATGTAAAATTATGTAATAATTAGACGTAAAATGTAAAAGAATTTATTTAATATCTTTAAATATTTATAAATTTTATGTTTAAGACCGAAATACAGTACCCCAGATTATTATCTCACGCCTGGAGACTTTAACGTGACAAAGGATCCAAAGAGTTAATAAACAAGGCGAAATATTAAAAGGCAAAAACGACCCCTTTTTTTAAACTGAGTGAGTAATAGTTAAAAAGTTTATTAAAAGTACAGAACGTCACAATGAAACTAGAAAAAAAGAGTCTCCGAATCACATTTACAATTTTCACTTCATAAAAAAAACTTTTTACGATTTTTGGTTTATTTGGATTGTTTGTATATCTTTTTAAAGAACTCACAAAAATCACATAAAGAAAGTTTAAGTCGTGTTTACTGATAACCGAGTGGATATAACTATTCAGGGGATATTTATTTTCAAGATGTTTTATACTTAATCCAAATATTTATTGTTTTTCCTAAACAGTTTAAAAAAAAAAAAAAAATAAGCAAATAAAACAATGAAAATATTTGGGTTATAAAACATCCAAAGGAAAAAATATTTTTAAAAGAGGCGGAAAACAAAATAATAATAATAAAAAATTAATATATATATACCCCTATAAAACATTGTACTAACCTTCTCTTGACCAAGCTTGAATGGAACAAGCCGGCCTCCGAACATTGAAGCACGACTCTGATCTAAGTGGGAGAATGCATTCGTCGACGATTGTTTCCGCGCGGCGGCAATGGCCGCTCCAGGAGCAGAGCTGCCGTTCGTCAGCATAAGACGAGGTGCGGGTTTGCTTCCGGCACTGAGGTTTCCCATCGGAGGCACATAGGGACGTTCCTCCTCTGATACCTTGGCTTTCTTCTGCAATAAGTATGTGCTCTTTCTTGCAATTACAAATATTTTAAAATTCAAATTAGATAAGATTCTTATTAACCATTATGGGGCCCAAAATAATTTACCTTTGCGATTCCAAGGTCGTCCAAAAATGCTGAATACTCGTCTAAAATAATGTTTAAATGTTTTTTTCTCGATAAAATGTAATAGCATAAATAAAATAATGATCAATTTTATAAAAACTGACTGGAAAAAAGAAGTAAGAAAAAATGAGAACCTGCAGACGTGAAAGCGGAAAAGGAGAAAATATGAATATATAAATATTAACTAAGCCTCATAACCTTCAATTTATTTTTTTTTAAATACAGTGGTAAAAAGTTTATAACTGATCAATTGAAGGTACTATGGAAACGTCTCAACAAGGAAACGGTCCAAAAAGTGACTTTTGGTCCGATTCCTTCTGTTTTTCAAGAATTATCGTAAATCCCTCAAATACTGCAAAAAGGGAAATCCGATTTTTTTTGATCCATTTCCGCTATATTTACATTTGATTCGTTTCCCGTTTTCTTTTTTAACGTTTTCCGCATTTTTTGGGTCTGTTTCCGGTTTTCAGAATAAGTTTTAAAATCTCAATTTGTTGATCGGTTTCCTTTTTTTCGATTCGTTTCTGCATATTTTAGGTTCGTTTCCGGTTTTAAAAAAAGTTATACATTTTAAGTTGATAACTTGCAAACAAACCAACAAACTAAATTTTTTTAACTTTTCTGAAAAACGGAAACGGGCCAAAAATCATTCGGAAACGGATCGAAGAATAAAGGAAACCGAAAAACAAACTGAAAATTTATAACTTTTTTTGAAAACTGGAAATGGACAAAAGATTTACAGAAACGGACCGAAAAAAACAGGAAACCGATCAACAAACTGAAACGAACCAAAAATATGCGGAAACAAATAAAAAAATAAAGGAAGCAGGTCAACAAATTGAAAATATTCTACGTTTTTAAAAACCGGAAAGGGACCAAAATTATTCGGAAACGGATCGAAAATGGTGGGAAATCCCTCAAAAATGTTTGGCTCGTAAAAACCGGAATCAGACCTAAAAATCGGGGAAATTGATCGAAAAAAGTTGGAACTCTCAAAAAATAAGTTTAGTGGGATTTTCAAATATTATTGAAAAAACAGAAAACGCCTCAAAAAATACATTTCGGGACTGCGGAGGTTTCCGTTTTTTTTTTTGGCCCGTTTCCATGTTGGTCTGTTTCTGTGTTGAGGCGTTTCCATAGCACCCAATTTAACTAACCGTCTAGCTCGGCTCCTCCAGCAGACTGGTTCCAAACCTCTCCAGGTCTACGCTGCTTACAGTCCTTCGTCACGTGACCCACTCCACCACATCGGGTACAGATTATACTGGAACATTTCAACGTAACACATTGCGCCAAAATTTAAAGAGAATGGCGCCAAATTAAAAACGAAAATGGCGAATAATTTTACAAAAAAAGCATAACTTCAGAATTAAAAAGAAATTACAAATAAAAATAAAAATTACAATAAAACACTTTTTTAAATGTAAAAACAAAAAAAGCTATGAAATATAAAATATTGTCGGATTGATTGATTAATTTAGTAAGAGTCACCTAGCGGTCACATTCTCACTCTCTGGACACTGCCAAGATTTGTGTCCTTCACGCCCACAGTTCAAACACTTTAGGTCTAGATATTTAACAAAAATCTTATATTTGTAAATTTGGTGGGAATGGGGGTTCAAAATTGAAAATGTTGGACAGGGGGAGAAAAATGGCTGTACTCCTGGATGACTGGTTAACAGCATCTGAGGGGCTTGGCCACTAAGGTGCCATTCGAGGTATATGGCTTATATTTTATGTATTGTATTTAAATATTTGAAACAAACCATAGGGGTACCGACAGGACGCTTATGAATTTGGTAAGTGTGCAGTGGGTTTGTGGCAAACCGCCATTGAGCTTGTCCTGTACCCGGTGGTCCACACTTTGATCCTTGCGATCAGCCCCACTATTTTAATTGGAAATAGTTCAGTGAGCCAGGCTCTACCCAAACCTCTCTTTGGATTGCTGGGGGACCGTTTTATTTATTATACCTAGGTAAATACTATCTTTACATACCCCCTCCTTAGTTCTATTATACCTAGGTAAATACTTTCTTTACATACCCCCTCCTTAGTTCTATTATACCTTGGTAAATACTATCTTTACATACCCCTTCCTTAGTTCTATTATACCTTGGTAAATACTATCCTTACATTATTTTTTATTACAATATTGTTCTTACCCACATCTCTCAGTGTTCCGTTTAATAATGCCAACTCATGCATATGAGATGCCCTCAGAGCAACCATCTAAATAAAATATAATGGTCACCGTAATAGTCCCATATTCTTAAACTATCGTTCAAAGTATTCCTCCCAAGTATTCTTCCCAAGTTTTCCTCCCAAGTTTTCCTCCCAACTTTTCCTCCCAAGTTATCATCCCAAGTATTCCTCCCAAGTTTTCCTCAGAAGTTTTCTTCTCAATTTCCCAAGTTTTCCTCCAAATTTTGCCTCATAAGTTTTGTTACCAAGTTTTCCTCTCAATTTCCCAAGTTTTCTTCCCAAGTTCTTCCAAAGTTTTCCTCCCAAGTTTTCCTCCCAAGTTTCCCTCCCAAGTTTCCCTCCCAAGATTTCCTCCCAAATTTTCCTTACAAGTTTTCTTCCTAATTTTTCTCCCAAGCTTTGTTTTTTCTCAAAACTTTCTTGTTCTCCATCTGCCATGTTTTACCTTTTCTCCGTCTGGGGCCTCAATCTGTAGTTTAATCAGCTCTCTAATATGGTCTCCACAAGCTATACAACAAAAGAACAATAGAAGAAGAGACTAAAGATGAACATCGTTGTTTAGTTCGTTTTAATACTTTCAAGGTTTTTTGACATTCTTTTGGCTCCACAAAAGTTTGAGATATTTATTTTTAAATTGTATTTATCTACTTCACAATCCACCCTGACAAAACATACAGGACCAGAATATAGGTCAAATTTATTTGATAAATCGTATAAAAGTAAACATTTTGCACAATGTGATAAAAGCGTTGTGAATATAATTTTGAGATATATAAATTATGAATAACCTACAATTTTTCAAAACCATCACTGTTAAAAAAGAATCGAAAAAAAACAATGCCCATATCTGAATCAAGACAAAACAGGCTGATTATATAAAAAATCACATTGTTCTGATTCAAAGAAGAAATAGACTGAGATGAAAGAAATCAATAATTTTCTTAAATCATTAAATTTTTTCCCCAAAACTGTTTTAAATTTGATTTAATAACTGTTGTACAAAAGCTTACAAGAAAACTGGAAAATTCACGACATTTTTAATCCATACTTAAAAAAGTACGAAGAAAAAATGCTTTCAGATTACAGTTTACATATTACTAGCAAGAGGAGTGAAAAACGCCTTGTAAACTATAGTATTATTGTATTATTAAACATAGGTAATAAAAACACTTTTACCTCTAACAGACTCAGCAGTTTGTCCATTGATACAAACATGCATTGGTTCATCTAATGCATCAAATCTAGATAACAATAATATAGAAAAAAATACTGTTTTATGTTTTCTAAACTATCCAACATTTTTAAAAATGGAAAGAAAAATAAACAACTAGATAATAAGGAATAAAAAAGAATTTGGAAACAAGCAAGATTATGAAAGTTAGAAAACAAACCAAAAACTAAAAAGCTCCTAGACTAAACAAATAAAAAAACATAGTACAAGACATAAGATGAAGCCCTCAAAAAGAAAAAGGAGTTCAGCGTTCATATTTAATGAATAGCAAGGCAATTAATTCTCTTTAGCTTGAACCGGCCCAAAAAAGAGATGGTTGAACTACGTTTCGCTAGTCTTAAGATCTGGTCCAAGATAAAAGCATGATTAACATCTTACTTAGATCCGTCCTTCTTCAGTCCTGTCATCCCATCCTTGATACTTCCCCGACCCTTGACAACTATTCTACAATTGAACTTCTGCTTGATCTTCTCCAGGGAGTTCCCCCTGGGACCCAGCAACAGACCCATAAAGTTGTACTGGGGATACTCCTCCTATACAATCATTAAACATCATATCATAGTAAAAAAGTAAAAATTATAAATACATTAATAATAATAGTAATACCAATTGAAATGGCAGAGGGACAATGACAACAATAACTGAATAAATGCGTGAAAGGATGGTAGGATGGATGAATTAATGAATGAATGAATGAATGAAAGGATGGATGAATTAATGAATGAATGATCTACCTGTGGAACATCTATTTTATCCTCTAGATTAGTATTCTTGTAAGCGTAGTGACCAGGAGGCTGGTAGGTGGGATCTAACGCCTTAATAAATAAAATAAATGAACAAATGAACAAATGAACAAATGAACAAATGAACAACTGAACAACTGAACAAATAAACAAATAAACAACTGAGCAACTGAGCAACTGAGCAACTGAGCAACTGAGCAACTGAACAACTGAACAACTGAGCAACTGAGCAACTGAGCAACTGAGCAACTGAGCAACTGAGCAACTGAGCAACTGAAACAACTGAAACAAATGAAACAAATGAAACAAATGAAACAAATGAAACAAATGAAACAAATGAAACAAATGAAACAAATGAAACAAATGAAACAAATGAAATGAGTTTTGTGATTGCGTTATTTCTCATATTTGTCAGTTTAGCTTTCGTTCTCTCAAACCTCGTGTTCATTCTCACACCCTAGATACAAATATATAATTTAATAAATTTAAATATTAATCTATAGATTGATAGATATATATATGAATGGGATGGGTAGATTAATCATAAGATGAATATTAAATAGATTGGTGGGTAATTAAATAAAAAGATAAGTAGAAAAAAAAAATATGTAGAATCATAGATATATAAATACATGGATTATAAAATTAATTGATAGATGATAAGATTTGTGAACAAAAAAATAGATTGATGGGTACAGTAGGTAGCAATCCATGGTAGGTAGGTAGATTAATCGTTAGATGGATAGATGGGTAAGTAGTTAAATGGACAAGCATACAAAAGATGGATCAGTAGATTTATCAATAGATGAGAGAGATGATTAGATTGGTGAATAAATAAATGGATAGATGGATAGATGAGAACAGGTAGGTAAATCGATATGTAGATAAATAATAAAATAGATAAAAAGCTGGTTATAAGACATATAACATAACATAATATATTATAAAGATGAATAAAGATGATGAGGTTTCTTGATTCTTGAGTCGATTTTCTTAATTTCAGGGCGTCCAGACCTCCAGGTCGAGTTGAATCACTACCTTAAAAATCGCTTGGGTGTGTGTGTACAAATGGTTTAGGTGTATAGAGGAAGGCGTGTGAAATTGTGAATGTATAGTTTTTTTGTTTGATTATTTTTAACATTCCAAGTTTTTGGACTATTCAAGAGGTAGGATCTGAGGAGTTATCATATTCAAATGTTGTGGTCTAAAAATTGTTTTTATATTGTAACACGTCTGACATAAGATATAAACCATAACGAAAAAATTAAATCCTTCGTAAAGCAAATAAGTGATTTATTTCGTTCAGGCCTTACATCTTTGCAAGAGTTAAAATTTTGCTTTAAAAATTAATGTTTAGAACTCGCATTATTCTTAACATGTTCTCACTCTGATATTTGGGGAACCCTTTGAAATCCAAAAAACTTCGGAATGTTTTTAATCCAACCAAAAAAAACCCCGATGGCTAACACTAGATAACCAAAAAGTTTTTTCTTTTTACTTTTTGCGAATTTTCAATTATTACCTATTCTGAACTTCGGATTTCCGTGGTTCCGTCCAGCCCCTAAAAGTTTGATTTGTCTGTAAGTCTGTCTGTCACGTGTCTGTTTGTTTATTTGTCTGTCTGTTAAATGTTTACCTTGCTGTTGTATATTGGTTCTGGACTAGGTGACCTATCCCGAGGATTCGGAGGAATACCTGTAAACATTATTGTCATTTTATCAATACAAAAAGCTTGTCTGTCTGTTTGTGTCCAATAAACCTCAAAATGTCTATTTTTAAGTTTGAAAAATCAATGAATGTTACCGATAAATTGAGAAAAAAAAGCAAATTTTTAGTTTTTTAGTGGTAAAAATGGCGCCCTTTAAGTCTATTTTTCTTTTATATACTGAAGCAGCTCATAAAATGTTAAAAATATCGGTTTAGACGGATAAAAGTTGACTCAGAATCAAAAGGATCAACTTTAGTTAACATTTTCAAACTGTGAAAGTGCTTTTACTACTTTGGAATTCAGAAGTGTCCGTTTTAACGAGCAAAAATTCCCGTTTTTGTTCCAATTCAAATTTAAAAAAGACATTTTCTTGAATATTATCAAAATTGATATTATAAAACTAGTTTCTTTAAGGTTTTTAAATTATAAATTTTCCACTTCTCTTTTACCACTTATGTTGCAAAACTAATCAAGAATTTGATGAGGATTGGAAATAAATCACGAAGAATATTCCAATTGTAATTTGTTCAATGAGATAAAGTTAACCCCCACAATTTAAAACCTTTAAACTTCAAATAAAACTTTAAAATTAGAAGTTTAACATTTTAATAGATGTTTATGATTAAATAAGACGATTTAGTCTCATCAGTCAAACGTCGAATTATGAATTATTGGAGTTAAAATTTTGAATTGAGTTTAACTCATTCTGTGTTTGCAAAAGTTTGCAAAACTATTCTGACCTAAAGTAGGCATAGTTAGCTTCTGTGTAGCCTCCCTGATCTGCAACTGAAGAATATAGATCTGCTGGGCTTTATTATCCACGTTAGAGATATTTATAATAGTCGGCATACTGTTCACACTGAAATATATATTTATAATAGTCTGCATACTGTTCACACTGAAATATATATTTATAATAGTCGGCATTCTGTTCACACTGAAATATATATAATAGTCCGCATACTGTTCACACTGAAATATATATTTATAATAGTCGGCATACTCTTCACAATGAAATATATATTTATAATAGTCTGCATACTGTTCACACTGAAATATATATTTATAATAGTCTGCATACTGTTCACACTGAAATATATATTTATAATAGTCCGCATACTGTTCACACTGAAATATATATTTATAATAGTCCGCATACTGTTCACACTGAAATATATATTTATAATAGTCCGCATACTGTTTCTCCAGAATTAGAAATTGAAGATTTTAGAATAATAAACCTTCTTATAAAGAATTGAGTTTAAACTCAGGCGAACATTTAAGTATAAATATGGAATTTAAAATGGAGAGACCGGCTGGACTTGGTAGTTAAGCTGAGGGTGCAGTGTTGTAGAGAAATATTTCAGGATTCACTCGAGATATTTGAGACGTTTTTACAGTGTATAATTGTTCTTCAAGAACGCAAATTCTATCTGATGGACTGTCCGTTCTAGAGGGATCATTTTCAGATTTTTTTTATTTTCATTAATAACGAAAATTAAAATATTGGGAAATTTCTACAGTAACCTAATAAGTTGTTTAGGAGCAAGTCGAGAAAATAAAAATTAACTCTTATCATCGAAAATATGTAATCTTATTAAGTTTTCGGTTTCTGTAATATTCGCAAACGTTTTCCGTAGATTTCCTGGAATTTGAAGAAATCTGCGAAGAAATTTATAAAGAATAGGAAAAATTCAGTGTAATGATCGATTTTACCATTGCTTTCTTTACAAATTTCTTTTCAGAAATATTCTCCCAAACAACTAATAATTTTACTGTAGATTTTTTTTTAAATTTTTCATCGTCGTTATTGAATAATTTTTTAAAAAAACTATTCTAAAAATCAACCCTCCAGAATGGAAAATCCAGGAGAACTTAAAAGATTGAATTTGCATTCTTCCTGAAGAATCATACACCGTAAAAAAAGGTTTCAAATGAAGCACTCTCATCTCAACTACCATGTCTAGCCGGTGTCTTTAAGAAAAAACTTATTTCCAGAGAATTATTGAAGAAAAATATATTTAAAATCCAGTTTTTCAGGAAAAATAAAAACTTACACATGTTTTTCCTCCTTCCTTGCTGATCCATCATCCCATCTTGACTTTCTTTTCTTTGCTCGCTCTTCTCTCTTCCTAATATATATATAGTGAACGATGATCATCATTCATTAGTCTTATATCATTCAAATTTAAAATTAATGTTAATGTGATTAAAAGCATAATGTTTAAGTGACCCTCCCAGCAAAAAATAATGCTCGATTTACAACGGTACCCTTTTAAGCGTTGTCTGTTTATGCGATTATAATAGAAAATCAGAGTTTGTGGCAAAGACTTAGTTTCTTTCTTGACACTGCTTCATGATAATTGGAGAAGTATCTACAGGGTGTCCCAAAAAACATGGGAATTCAGTGACGAATTCTTGGAATAGAGTTCCAGGTCCTTGGAAGAAAAACCGTAGGAAAACTTTCTAGATATTTATTGTTAACTAATTCTAATTTATAACTTTTTGTTCTGTTTGGTTCTGCTAACGCTAAAAACATTCCATTAAAAGATAATGGAAGTTTGCCATTCATATATTTAAACATAAAAACAGCAGAATTAAATTTGATCATGTCTTTTATTTCTAGAATTTCAAGTTTCAGAAAAAGTGGATCTGCGTGTGCAGCATAACCTTTATCTGCTAGAACTCGTAGAGCTTTTTTTCTGAAGAGTAGATAATTTACCTAATCTACTATTTACTGACGGACCCTAAGATAAAATACCATACTCTAGTTGACTTTTAATAAGACTATCATATATTCATTTTCTAATTCTCAAAGGAAGAATATGTTTTACATTTCTTAGTGCAAATATCGCACTAGAAATTTTAGTACATATGTGTTCTAATTGAAAATCCCATTTTAGAAACTCATCAAATCTAACTCCTACAGTCTATAATAAGAACTGAACATTTTTTGGGTCAAAAAACGACGTTTTATTTAAGATTTAGAATTCATGGGTACCGTTGTAAATCAAGCATTGGCATCTGAGCATGGAGGGTCACTAAAATTACACTTACGTCTTTCAACCATTAGTCCTAGAATTGATATGCTTTTACTCTAATTATTTTATCTTGATTTAGAATGAACATGAAATTAAATGAAATGAAATGAGGCTGTTAAGGACGTCCTTCACCCACGCACCAAACTAGAGGTGACTTATGCTAAATTAAGAATGAGGTAAGGTATTACGATTTATAGACTTTATTTATTTTTACTTTAAAGTAAAAGAATTAAGTTTTTGATTATTGAACTATCACCCTTTGCGAAACTATTTGCAAGGCCTTTTTTAATATGATAACAGTGAAATTTACGTTTTAATTATTATACCACAGTATATAAAAAGTGTACAAATATCTTTCGAAATTAAGTAAAGACAACAAACACAAATAATGTTAAATTTGTTTAACGTTCGCCTTTAAAGAATGCATTTAAGATGCTCGCCTTTTTTGACTCGAGTTACTGTTCGTAACAATGGACAAATACGACAATTAATGTTTGAATGCATCTTTATCCACGTTTCTTTTCCTATTTTCTTCGGTTCATTATAATAATATCTAGAAGAGAATTTTACTCCTGTCCGAAACCGTTTTCAGTAGACCACATTATAATGATTTTTTTTTATATTACAAATTAGTAATAATCTGTTTTAGACAATCTATCTTGTTAAGTCTCTTTCGTAGGACAAGGCAGACCGTTTTGTCCATGGATGTACTTGGGTGGCGAGGAGCATCATTCATTAAATGAATGGTTGTAATAATCACAACTCACCTTTGTCTTTCTTCCTCTGATTCCACAATAACGGCGCCATTTACAGTAAATGCGCGTAACTCCTTTGGCCCCTCAAGTGCCAATCTATCCGACATTTCGTTTCTGAAAATTTAAACACTTTACATAATAAACAAATATATGATGTATTAAAACTAAACCGCTAAATATTATTGTACTATTTACAAAAGAAAATAACTTTTTTATAGAAATTATACATGTGTAAAATTTATGTTAAGCAATTTTTATCACAGGGGATTTGTGTGAACAAAAAACATGAATGGAAAGTTTGAAAAAGTGTTCTCTTCGAACAGTTTGTGAAAACTTACGATAAAATTTTATTAAAATTTTGAATTTTTACGTAATATGCTGTTATTAAAATTTACATAGTTGAGCAACTAAAAATGTGCGGGCAAAAGCCACCACAATTTATTTAAGTTTTTTTGCTATTTATATTATTTACATTAGTGTCATGCCAACTTTTTTACATTAAAAAATGTTAAACTTACGATTTAACTTAACTAACTTAAAGCCTCAACTTGTTTCTTGATTAAAGAATTTTCCTAAAATAAGTTTCATTGTTTTGTCCGATTTCCCAAAAAAATTCATAATTTGTAAATTAAGGTGTGTTCAAATGATGAACAAACTTTTTATTTAAACCTTTTAATAGCAAAAGAGGGGGGGGGGGGGCAGGTCAATTCTAATATATAAAGATTTCTATAATTTTCTATTCCAGTGATGACAGGATGTGTGTAAAACTATATTAAAAAGTTTGGGGGAGGGGGGAGGGGGCATTATTTCTTTTTTTGATAATATAGTGGAGAATTTTGGAAATACAAATTCCTGAAATATCAATATATTACTTTAAACACCAGATATCTGGATTATATTTAGAACGTGTTTAGTCCGTGAATAGATCAAGCAGCTGTTCTCGGCCTAAACCGGAAATCCGGCAAATTTTCTTCCGCTTCTTCTTCGGCGGTGGTTCTTTGAGTTTACTGAGTTCCTCTACTTCCTCCTAATCAACAAAAGTAAACAGTGAGAAGTAGATGAACTAAGGAGATTAAGTTAAGCCAATTCCGACACACAGGGGATTCAATACGTTTATTAAGCTTAACGATTTCTCACTATTTGTTAAATCAGGTAACTGGGACCAAATTTCATGAACAACAAGACATGGCTGAGCGCCGCGTAGACGTGGTTCAACCACTTCTCTACAGCTTAAATCGGCGCACAAGAGGAGTGATTCAAGATCTTCTATGCGGTTCAACTACTTATCGCGATTCAAATACTTATCGCTTTTTATTAAATCAGGTACCAGGGTCCATAAAAATGAAGATAAACGAGAAAAACCATGTCAAAAATCATGTATTACATTCTTCCGAGGCCTTAACCTTTCATCTAGATGTGCTTAGGAATATATTGAGAAAACAATAATGGTAAAAGGACTAAACGCAACAGAAAGGGATGCTTTGATCTTAAAGTGCAATAAATAGCTAATTATCCGATAGATGGAATCACAATAGTTCCTTTTAAAAAGATTTTAGTAATTCTCCAAATAAAGGTGAGTTAAAATTACATTGACATTCCCTTTAAACATATATTCCCTACTCCGCCCCTACCTTGGCTACTCCGGCGTGTTCCCATTTATTTATGGAGAAGTCCCAGGAGGAGGACAGGATCTCTGGGTAGTAGGGATGCCAGGACACATCACGGACACATGCACGGTGCCCAGACAAGGTCTTAACAATACAGTTTATCAATTAATCAATCAATCAATTAATCAATCAATCAATCAATCAACAACCCAACCAACAAAACAATAACTGTTAATGAATCTAGGGATGCCAGGGCACACCACAGTTCCCAAATAAGGTCTTCAAAATAACAACAAACAACCAAACAACCAAAAAACCAAACAACCAGACAAAAAAACAAACAAAAAACAATCAATCATCCAATAAATCAACCAATCAATCAATCAATCAATTCATTAACTAACCAATTAACCAACTAACTTAATCATTAAAATTTTAATTTATGTTTTGGGACCCACGAGGCTTGGACAAGGGCTTCAATAATCAATCAATCAGTCAGTCAGTTCATGTTTGGGAATTGAAACTAATAATGGCGACCCTCCAGAATACCGTTTCTAAAACTCGTTAACAATCCAATCATAATTCAATTCAGTGACATTTTAATACAGTTAAAATTCAATCAATATCGTACTAACAAATTTAATTTAATCTAATTCACGAACACATCGATCAAACACGACAAGGTTATTGTTAGTAAAATTGTGTTACTATCTTTACCTGAACTATCTCTCCTGTTAAAACATCATAAATCACAACTCTACCAGAAGCACATCCAGTATAGATATACCGCTGTCCTGAAATTATTTGTGATCTCATTGGGAATCGCGTTCTCTGTCTTCTTCCTGATGTGTAATTTGTTCTTAAATGGACTATATACGTAATTTCAAGTGACCCTCCCAGCAAAGATGGCAATGCCCTATTTACAATTCTGGTTTCTCTGCAAAAGAGACTGCAACAGAGACAAGCGATGGACAAATTCACAGAAATGAACACTTATCCGAGTGAGTAAAACGACATTTATCTTCCACATTTTTGATAAGACACTGTTGTGAATCGGACATTACCATCTTCGCATGAAGGGCTACTTGAAATAAATTTATTTCGGACTTCAATTCGTCTTTTGCCACGGCTCATTCCTATATAGCCAGTTTCACAGACCNAGCAAACTGTTAAAATTACGGAACCTTTTTACTACCCCCTATTTCTATCATCAATAGTTAATTTATTCTTATTCTAAGAATGTGATTTGAAAGCTCCCCCAACTCTGCAGGACCTGGTCTTTATATCGAGTCAAGTCAGATTTTTGAAAAGAGCGCAGCGACTAGGATGGGTGTGCCAATCGCAGTGGCTGAGGTAGGTGGGCCGAGCGCTTAGCACTGACTGTATTGTGCAGAGAACTTTATATTGTTAAATGTGTACCTGTACTGTGCTCTGGGGAGAAATGACAGCGTATCAGGGTTTGAAGAACTGAGTGTCCAGTATAACTCATAATACTGGAATCTCCTTTAAGCCTGGCTAACCCACCCTGAGCAATTTTAATCAATTTCAAACAATTCCAAACAATATCAAACAATATCAAACAATAACAAACAATCACCAACAATAACAAACAACAGTAACAAATGATGGCAAGTAATTGTATTAAACTATTTTAAAATTGAACCTCATGAATAGTGCTTTAGAATTCAATTAAACATTTGGTTTTTGGCAACGCGATTTGAATAATTAACTTTAAATAAATCAAAAGGTGAACGTAATAATATATTTTTTTTGAGGTATTTGACCTTCCCGCAATTCCAAATATTCTTGGCCCAGTGTTCTAAATCGTTCTCTTATTAAATTGTTGAATTTATTTTGACTCGTAAAATTTTGTTAGAATCGTTAAAAATCTAATTTATGGATTGTAAACGCTTACCTGAATATATTCTCCATTCTTTATGAATTGAGAATACAGTTCCTTACCTTCTCTCCTACCTGAACTTATCTTCTCTCCTACCTTCTCCTACCTTCTCTCCTACCTTCTCCTACCTACTCACCTACCTAAGTCTAGCTTCTCCAACCCTCTCTCATACCCGAGCCTACCTTCTCTCCTGAGATGAAAACTTTAGAATGGGATATCCTTAATCCCGATCTGTTATTTAATCTGGAGATTAAGTTCATGAGGAGTATAAGCAATATTTAATCTGGAGATTAAGAAAAAGAGTGGATTAAGCATTAATCCTGATATCCACCATTCTAAAGTTTTCAGCTCTGAACTAACTAATCTTCTCACCTACCTTCTCCTACCTTCTCTGCAACCTAAACTTACCTTCTCTCCTACCTGAGCCTACTTTCTCTCCTACCTGAACTTACCTTCTCTCCTACCTGAACCTACCTTCTCCTACCCTCTCCACTTTCCTCGCCTGATCACATATCCTCACCATTCCTTACTTTCTCCTAAGTGTTTATGTGATGGCCTTTCATGTTTTAATACATCATGTACCATGTGTTGAACGATCTGATGTTTCAGATCTGGAAGTCAGGCTTTGGACTAGGACAGGTTAGTGCTACCACACTTACAAATAGAAGATAACATTGTTTATATTTTTACCTTTGGTCTCTCCCATCTATAATCCCACTGCATGTTCTTACTAAAATAATATAAAAGTAAAAACTCGCTTTTCCTTCTAAAATTAGTGTTCGTGAAAAATAAAACGAGTACATGATAAATGACAAAATATTTCTTTTCAATGATTAAGCTCCAAAATAATGTGCTACCGAACTGCAGATTTGCATTGAATTGAAAAAAAGGACCAATTTGAATACAGTTAACCAATTTCTAAATCTTTAAACACTAAATCTTAAAAGTGATAAATAAACTTTTTCTTCCTTATTTTCAAATCTTTTTTTTTAAATGGTCGCCTCTTTTTTTTAGCTATCGATCCTTTTATTTAACAATAAGGAGGAACTCTTGTAAAGAATCACTCCTTTAAAATAATATTTAAAATAAACTCATTTTTCCCCCAAAAAAATCCCTCATTCATTAAAAAAAATCATAAAAATGTTGGGCTAACATTGATAAAAGACTGGCATAAAAAAATGTTAACTGGGTGGGGGATAATTTTTAAAGAAAATAAATACCCCTGTTAACTAACCTGACAGCTCGTCTTCCCTCCTCCACATCAGATTCTCTAGAGAACTTCCTGATATCCCACAGTTTAATACTCTACAAATATACATGTACTTATACTTCCTGATATCCCGCAGTTTAATACTCTACAAATATACATGTACTTATACTTCCTGATATACCACAGTTTCATACTCTACAAATATACATGTACTTATACTTCCTGATATCCCGCAGTTTAATACTCTACAAATATTCATGTACTTATACTTCCTGATATCCCACAGTTTAATACTCTACAAATATGCATGTAATTATACTTCCTGATATCCCACAGTTTAATACTCTACAAATATGCATGTATGTATACTTCCTGATATCCCGCAGTTTAATACTCTACAAATATTCATGTACTTATACTTCCTGATATACCACAGTTTCATACTCTACAAATCAATTATATAATAAAACTCTTTGCTCATATATATATATATTTGAATATATGTTAGCTATAGCCGGCAAAACGGCAGGACCAATTGGCTGAATTTCTTTGAGAGAACCCAAAGGTGCCAGGGGGATAAATAGGCTAAAAACAAACAAAAAATTTAATTCCACGGACAATGACGAGCACTTCAGCTAGTTCATAATAAGATAATATGATAATCTAATCAGGAAAAAAATGTAATAAAGGAAATTCTTAAACGAGATGAAATAATCTTGATGTATTCTTTAACGAAAAGGCCACAGGGACTCGAGATGGGAAATATTACATAGGCAAAATTATCCAGAGGAGCTCAGTAGAAATACTCGTGAAAGTTTTAACAAAATTGTTGAGATAGGTGTAAATGATGAATGACCTGATCTTTGCTGTTTGTAATTATATATCTACCATCTCCTCTAGGATCAACATAAGCTATACCGTCCCTAAATAATGGACAAATTATCAAATCAACTCAAACCAATCAATCAATCAATCAGTCAGGGGTGTACATTTTTAAGAATTACCACCTGGGGGTAATGATTTTTTTTAATCTAGGGGGAAAAATGATAAATTTCACATGAAAAGGCAAATTTTTTCATACTTTTTCATACTTTTCCATACTTTTTAATTTTTATCCAAACATTTATTTATTTTCCCTAATTCAGCAAATTTAAAAACATTCCTAACTTCTTTCTTTATCAAAAATCAGCAATCTCTAACGTCTTCGTTTTCTTTACTGCCCATCAATTCAACATAATTCAAAAATAATTTTCCCTTCACTCAAATCTACACAGATCTTTTTTTCTATGAGTATATAGAATTATTTTCAGGATTTTCTTTTGCTGAAATGAAAAACTACATTTAAAGATGGGGAAAATGAAGAGGGGTGATTTTGTAAAATATAAACCCTTTATTATACATTTGGCATCATTAATCCATTCTTTATTTATTCTTTAACTATAAACTACCAACCAAGAAATCAACCTTTACTTTATAAAAATAATGGTGGATAAAAAATGCTTAATGTTACCTGTGACCAGCAAGAGTACCAACTGGCTGAGGATTGGATTCTCGTAAAGATCTCCGATCCCAAACCTTGACAAATTAAATACTACATTAACTTCACAAGACTTAACAAATAACTCAGAGACAGGAACTTATGAATAGAAACGAGAACTGAAAACTGGGTATTATAAGTTTAAATCAAGTCCAAGGAATCCAAAAGTCAAAAAGTTCATATCAAATATACAAAAAAAATCTCCACGAAACAGGGAAGGTCGTTGTGCGGAAAATACTCAAAGAGGAAAGAAGTAGATTTTAAAGACCTATTCTATCTTAATGTAAAATTAAGTTTCGCACAAAACCGGATCCGCATCAAAATGGATTAACGCCTAAATTTTAAGTTCTGACGGGCAGATAAGCAGAAGCAGTTGAACGAAGTCGTAGCAAGTAAAAATACTCGTCTGTTTTAATAAATCACTATTTCACAGCTAATTATTTTGTGCTTTGCAGCATGTTGATGCCCAGCCTGATGGAAAAATTTTTCTAACATTTCTTAATATTTATTTAAATATTCATGTAAAAAGAAAATATTTACCCTGCAAAGTCCGTCATCACCTCCTGAAATAAATAGTTAATCATACAAAGTTATGTTGAAGTGAATTAAAGATTTAAATCTATATATTTTTCTAGACCAATCATTACCGCTCCAAATGTTCACTTAGTATAAATATTTTTTTCGCTGAATTATGGGAAATAATAAAAAAGAGTGACAAATCTTGCTTAGTGTCTGATATTTGTGTACCTCCAGATTATTAAAAAATTATTATCATTATTATTATTTCTATAATTATCATTATTTATAACTATATAATAAAACATGACATCCGAAATTTTATTTTTTCAATTTTTTAAAAATATTTTAACAAAAATTCAAATTTTTTTACACGGGCAACGCCGGGCCCTTCAGCTAGTCATCTCTAATAATAATAATTATAAGATGTGAAAGGGAACCCGACATGGAATCTACATAATAAAACAAGACATTCATATATATCTTTACTATAGCCGACCAAATTTCAAGTTTTTTTCCACGGGCAACGTCCTTCAGCTTGTCATTAATCATATTGCCATAATTTTTATGAATACTTTTTTAACTATCTTTATAAGTCCGTATCCCGAAATAAAAGAAACTCTAATATGAAACCTGAAGCTAGAATCTGCGTAGTTTCATCAACAAAACAAACTGCGTTCACATCACTATCATGCGCTTGTATAGTCATTCTCTAAATAATACAATCAATCAAGCATCAATTAATCATCACTCAATCAATCAACTCTCAATTAATCAGCAATCAATCAATCAATCGTCAATCAATCAATCAATCAATCGTCAATCAATCAATCAATCAATCGTCAATCAATCATCCTTCAATCAAAATAAAATTAAAGATTATATTCACCAGAAAATGTATCACCATAAAAATATTTGTTCTCCCATTATTTAAACGAGAAATCACAATTGAAAATTATCAATTTTGAGAAAGGAAAACAATGATATCTTAGTACTTTTTGCTTAGCACCATGCATGAGTTTTGCAATTTCTAATTGGCCCTGGTTTAAGAAAGACATTTAATTTATGCTGCAAGAATTTGGATAAGAAGATGCCATTATGTCTGACCTACTGTCGTTTGAGATATTGATTATTTTGACAATTGTTCATGTTACCAACATACAAATGTAGCAATTTGAATAACTAGAAATTCAAGGCGCTTCGCGCCCTTCTTTCTAGCCTTAGAGGGCGCTTCGCGCCCATCTTCTAAATTAGTTGTGAACATGTTCTCTTTGTGTACATCGTAAAACAAAACAAAAATAATTCGCGGATTTTCAAAATTTTTAAAAATTTAATGACGATTGAATTTTGATGGAGAAAAATATTTGAAATTTTGATGATTCATAAACCTTCCCTGAAGTCCCTAGATGTCCCACAAAAAATTTGGGCCCGATCGGTTCAGCCGTTTTGACGTTTATAGGATACAAACAGACAAACAGATAGACAGACAAGCCAAATTTATATTTAGAAGATTACATCATAAGGGCCACTGAAAGTAGAAAGGACTTCAATTGAATCACTTTTTTTTTCATAAAATAGTGACATAAAACATTTAAATGCAAATAAAAAAATATGTTGAAATGAAACAAAAATCTAGAAAGCAAAACCAAACCGAAAAATTGTCATTATAAACAAAAGTGAAAATATCTCTAGTTCCTAAGACGTTAGTTCAAGTGACTAACCACCAAATCAATTAACTTGCAGACATGTTAAAAGTGCAGATTTTCAACAAAGAACGATGATGAAGTATAAACATGAGAGTTCACTTGCATATGGCATACAGTTTAAATTAGTCTGAGTTTTAATTTACAATTTTTAAGTTCACTTAATGTATATATACCACAATTTATGTAATGTGAATGTCGTCTTCCTTAAACCAGGGCCCATTTCTTGAAAACGACTCAACACCACCACCTCCTCCTTCTCCTCACCTGCGAATGTGACTCTCTGTCATACAAGTAAAGACATCCATCGTTAGCTCCTCCCAACAGTTCTGATGAATCTTGGCTGAATCTCACAGAGAATATACAGAACTAGAATAATCAGATCTTAGTTTAGGAATCTTGGCTGAATCTCACAGAGAATATACAGAACTAGAATAATCAGATCTTAGTTTATGAATCTTGGCTGAATCTCACAGAGAATATACAGAACTAGAAAAATCAAATCTATGTTTTGGACAACGTAAAACAATCTAAATATCAAGTTTCATTAACCCTATCTCCCCTAAACTAGCTTAGAAATATGTACACTCTGTAAAAAGTATATACCCTCTGTAAAAACTGTATAACCCCGTAAAAGTATATACCCCCTGTAAAAGTATATACCCCCTGTATTAAAAATGAAAAGATTGTCTGACCTGATTGTGTGTAGGTGGATCTAAACACAGAGGAATCTGTTCAACAGAATATCCATCCTCAGAATAGTTATCACCAAGGATGTGAACCTAAATATTTCATACAGTTTTCTTTACATCAAAAATCAAAATGATCACATCACATTGATCACCATCGTATCAAATAAAAATGATCACATCACAACCCAATGATCACGTTGCAATGATTACATCAAAATGATCACATCATTACGATCACTTGACTTGACATGACAATAATCACACACCAATGATCCCGTCACAATTACCAAATCACAATAAGCTCATCACAATGGTATTGATCACATCAAAATAATCACCTGACAATGATTATATCACATGTTCTCATTACATCAGTGAGAGTAAATAATAATTAAATTAAATAAATGGTCGTGGTAGATCCTTAATGTGGAATCCCCAGACCGTCATCGGGCCTTAATACAAGAGAGGCGGGGGGGAAATGCGTTGCCAAAGAGGAAAAGGGACAAGAATGGTGGGTTGAAGTGAACCTGAGGTAGAGGGGAGGGGGGTTGTAGTNGGGTATGGGGGTAAGTAGTGAAAGAGAAGAGTTGGGGTGATGTCATGATTGGGAAAAATGAGGAGAAGAAGCGGGGTCCCGAGGAGGAGAATTTACCTGATAAAGATAATCGTTCCATGAAGAGTAAACAAGATGAGTTCCTGTTGGGTTCAGTGCGACATCTAGAATACTCCACCCTACATCACGGGCCTAGATAATCAATCAATCAAACCTTCAGTTTTTCAGACTTTTAATAAATCATTTAACTCTTCAGTTTATCAGACTTTTTACCAAATCATTGAACCCTTCAGTTTATCAGTCATTTACCAAAACATTTAACTCTTCGGTTTTCAGTCTTTCAACAAATCATTTAACCCTTCAGTTTATCAGTCATTTACCAAATCATTCAACCCTTCAGTTTATCAGACTTTTACCAAGTCATTTAACCCTTCAGTTTATAATGACTCGTTAAATTAAGCAGTAAATCATTAAACTAATCTTAAAACCATCAGATAGTTAGTCAAGTGTTCAGTTAAATAACCCCTAAGTCAATCAGTTAATTACCCTCCCAGGTAATCCAGTTAAGAAATCAATCAAGCCTCAGTAAATTCGCCAATAAAACCCTTCAGCTAATCAGTTGGTCAAACAGTCAGTTAAATAACCTTTTAGTTTATCAGTTTATTTACCCTCCAGTTAATCCAGTTTATAAATCAATCAAGAATTCACTGAACAAATCAATATTGATTTCAATTTATAAATCAATTAAAACTTCACTACCCTTTAGGCAAGGAGTATGAAATAGAAGGGAGATATAACTGAAGCGGCCCGCCCTACCATATGATTATATATGCTTTGCAGACGGCACTCCATTTGAATAAGAAATATCTGACTGATGTACAATAACCGCGTATACAATAACCTATTCTGAATATTTGTTATACAAATGGAGTACCCGTCTGCAAAGCATGTATGATCAATGATCATATGGTAGGGCAGGCCGCGTCAGTTGTATCTCCCTACTATTCCATACTCCTTGCCTTTAGGCCGCGTCAGTTGTATCTCCCTACTATTCCATACTCCTTGCCTTTAGCTGATCAGTCAATCAAACTTAGCCCAGCTTGGCTGGTAATAAAACCTTCCCTATAAATGTCAATCTTCTCATCTTATAATCTAGAATACAAATTAAAACATTCCTGTAGTTCTACCAAGTTCCCAAATCAAAATTCGGTCAAGTGATTCAAATTCAAACAAACAGAGATTACTATTTATATTTATAGACATCTAAAAGATTAAGTTACCGGAATTGTTTGCAAAAGCTTAAAATTTCCTCGGCTTGTATCAAACACTCTAAGTTGTTTGTCCTAAAATTAAAAAAATTATGATTTTTCACTTTTAAATATCCTAAAAAACTGATAAAAGTTCTTACAATAGAAAAAGAAAGTAAAAGTAAAAACTAATTTCAAATCCACAAATTCTGCATAAAAATGTAATTTTATTAAGTAATGTTAAACATATTTTTAGGAATGGACAAAACACGGCAAATGTGCCTTCAAGTCTTCACTCTACATATATATATATAAATAAGGGATAATGTGCTTAAGACGATTTCTAAAGTAGAGTTCACATTAGAACACTTCGCGCGGCAAAGCTGAAAAATTAGCTTAATGTAAATCTGCAACTTTGATTTATCAAAAGTTTCTCTTTTAAGAAATAATATAACCTGGCATGCACTAAGAAATATATCCCCTTCTCTTCCATGAACTCCACAGAAAACTTTATTCCTAGAAATATTAATATATTTATTCAAGAAAACATTATTCCTAAAAATATCAATATATTTATTCAGGAAAACTTTATTCCTAAAAATATCAATATATTTATTCAAGAAAACATTATTCCTAAAAATATCAATATATTTATTCAAGAAAACTTTATTCCTAAAAATATCAATATATTTATTAAGGAAAACTTTATTCCTAAAAATATCAATATATTAATTCAGGAAAACTTTATTCCTAGAAATGTCAATATATTAATTTAGGAAAACTTGATTTCTAAAAAGTCAAGAAAAGTGAAGAAAAGTGAATAACGAGTCAGCGGAATGCGAAAAAAAATCCCGATAGCTGTTGTACAATGAGACCATTAACGTTACATGTAATATGTATTCTAAGGTCATCAGATTTGTTAAAAGTAACAAAATTGCCATTTATACGAATGTTAATGTTTGTGAAAAGGGATTGTCAATATTCTGCTAAAGCAGTAAACCCCACACCTGCCAATAAAGAAAAATTGGAACCAACAGCTTTTGCTCACTGAGTAATCAGACTACTGCTTAGGACAGGTTAAATTTTTTAAAGAAGAATAACACGCTAAGCATGCTCTCTCATCGCTTTAAAACACGGGGAGTGTGTGTGTCTCTTGCCATGCATTGTCAGAGGTCTGCCATGAGGATTAAGTAATCAAGTATCCAATGTCAGGATAGTAAAGCAGGATTGTGGTATTTGATTTTAAGTCCATTGAAGGCACTGTTCCCCCGTCTGTATATATTTAAATATCGAGAAGAACTCCAAAACATTAAGCCCACAGGATGTTTCAATCTGAATCACCCTTTCTATATTTTTTTGCTTGTTTTCAGTTTGAGGAGAGCAGTGACCTTAATATAGACTTTTATATCTAATTCAGCGCTCCAGCGCACTCTCTCCAGGCTAGAGAACTTAAGCTAACATTCCTCTGCGATGGTCGGATCCATACAGATTGAGAGATTATGTAAATTACCCTAATGTTAGCTAGATTGAGGCTTAGAAGAGTCGCAACTAACCCAAAACAGGGGAAACTATCTGAAAACTTACTTAAAAGCGGCAACTTTAGTCTCTGTATCAGGAAGAAGCGTAGAATTCAGTCTTTTTACACTCTAAAAAATATTAGCATTTAAAAAAAATAATGTTAAAAATTTAAATTGTATTGTACTTTAAAAGACTAGGCTATTAGGGCGCCCATCTTCTATTTCAATTGTGAACATGTTTTCTTTGTGTACACGTTTATTGGATACAAAGAAACAGACAGACAAGCAAAGTATATATATATAGAGAGATTAAAGAGACTATGGAAAAAAGTTTTCAAAATTTTCAGTGAAGTCGTCATATCAAAAGACAAAAAGAAACGTTTTAAATAGGTCATTACAAACAGTCCAATATTTTTAAGGGTGTGAAGAGTTCAAACCTGTGGTTTACGAATCCCAAGAGCTCGATCTTGTAGGAACTTGTGAATATTACAGTCTATTCAAATACATGGGTTACTTTATATATCATATGAAAATGGAATGACGACTGACTAAAACAAATATTTTGCGTTAAAAGTTAAATTTTTTAAAATTAATTTTATTCTTTTCGTCGTAAACCCGGATCAACGTCAAAATGAAATGAATCCTAAGCTCTACTCATAAAATGTCAACACACCATGAGCCTCTAGTTTCTTGTTGACTTTAATCATACTTGACTTCAGAGCTTGGTGCTTTGTTTTTCCAACCAAAAGTAACGAACTTCGTAAGCGACCCTCCATTTAATGAAAAGATGTTCGATTCACAACGGTAACCTTTAAACTTTGCTAACAAATAAAAAGGTTATAAAATCGTTTTATAGCTTCGAAAGTGTTTAATTCGGACAAATTTCCTACATTTTGTTTCTGCTGCAGCCGAAATCCCAATATCACTAAATCATCTTTATATAGAAACCACAATTACAAATAAGGTTTGACTGTTGTCGTTGTTAATCGGATAAAGCACTCTTTAAAAAAACTCCCTAGAAATTATATCTATAGTCCCTTTAAAGTAACTAATATTAAATTCAAAAAAGAAGTAATTTAAAAAAATGTTTTATACTGTGTTCTTACAAAACAATGGAACAAACGAATAAGTAGAAGTAAAATTTGTGAGAAACCTTTTAGTGTTCTAAATATGATTCTAAATAAGTTTTTAGACATTTTTCGGATTAGTTCTTATAAACATAAATTTTTAAGAAGATTTTGATAATATTTCTATAAATAAATTTTTTAGCCCATGTCCCTTTTAGCGGTTGCTCTGAAAAGCAACTGGTGACACTAATCTCATTCTGCACTATATAGGACGTATCTGAACATATCATGTATTAATAAAATATATTTTTATATGGGGAAGGTCCGGGGATGGCGGGGGGAGAAAAAGAGAGAGAGAGATTGACAGTGTTTATCAAAAAATATTGCGAGATTTTGTCAAAATTTTGTAATTGATGATGAAAATTTAATTGTGCTCAACAATTTTTTTTCTTGAACTAATGAAACTTTAATATGGAATTTGCTGTATTTAACTTTAATTCTGATCCGGTTTTAAAATATTACTACAGAATACTTTGAGAGAAAGAGTTCATGGCCCGAACTTAGATATAGATTCCTCCAAACCATTATTTTAAGATATGATAATTTTCTTTAAAGAAGTTTCATTAAAGCGAAGACAATTTCTGGACAGAGCGCTTGCGCTGCGACCATATGCTGTGGTTGTATAAAGCGATACAAATATTTAAAAAAAAAAAGAATTATACATCTAAAAACAAGCTTTTTCATCGTTTTTGATACTTTCTAATGACTTGATCCAAAATGTATTCATTTCCCCCGAAATCAGCTAATAAACTATATAAAAAAGTATTTCTGGGGGGAGGGGGTATTAATATTTTAATATAATAAAAACCAAACCAACCAGAGTGAATTTGTAAGTAATAATTTCAGAAAACAAAGAAAATTAATGTTTTTGTGTTTTTAGTTGAGAGGGGGGGGGGGGTCTACCTATACTAGAAGGATGCATGGTTGGGACTGGTCTGTACGAGTAGGGAAGCTCCCCAGAACCTGCCGAATCAGAATCGTCCGTCTCGTCAGATATACTCAAAACGTTTCTATCATCGTCTATAACATGTTTAATTAACAGTTTAACTATAAGAGAAAATTAATCTCTTCTTAATCATATTTAAAGGATTCTATGAATTTATTTTCATTCGAAAAGCTAACCGTAAATATCTTTCAGGAATAAATCATTATTTAGAAAGGAATATGTAAAAACTAAGGAAAGGTTGAATATCGGGGACATAAGTAAATTAAAAAGTTTAAAAATTAAAACTTCAGTATAGTGGAGTAATAGTTCTATAAATTTTCTGGGATGGGGGGAAATATCCAAAAACATTTCTTACCGTCGCTTGCTGCAAAAGAAATAGTGCTGGCTCCTCCTGTCAGAGCTCTAATTATGCTTCGTAAACTGGTTTCCATTGCTGCAGTTTGGATACCCTCGTTATCTTAGAGAAATTATAAATCAACAATGTGTAAAGGTCGTAAAAGTATTATGAACAAAGTTTAATTGGTTTAATCTTCTTAAGAAGAACCGAAATCCTGATCCAAATATGTTCACTAAACACGCCTAGATGCTTTGAGTCTAATAAGATTGATTCACTGATCACGATTCTTGGACCCTGATTCGGAGATGATCCCTGCATTTACTCAGATCAAGCTCAGAACAAAGCTGAATCCGACTCAGGTTAAAGACGATTTATATTTCCTAGAGAAACCAGTACCCCTCTACTTCTTAGTTCACGCGTCTAATCTGAAAAAATGAACCCCTAGCGTGTCCTAACTATGAAGTACAGTTTGTCTGTTTACCTAGGCGCGCAACCGCCCACCTTTTATCACCCCAACCTAAACCCTTAACTTATTAAATTAAACGTTAAAATTAAGGATTTGTATTTAGGTAATTAAGGATTATTAACCAATCAAGCACTGAACGTCTCGATTGGCATTTTGGCTAAAATTGGCAGATTTATTCTCTGAATGGACAGATTATTCTCCCAAATTTGCATGTTTTTGCTCCACAAATTTTTACTAGAAAACTACCGGGTCTGTCCTAGTAAACGTTTTTTGGACCCCCCCCCCCTCCTATCAATTTTGTACATGAAGAAATTAGTATTTATTTATCATTATTTAGGATAGGCTAGGGAGCCGAGCGCTGCGGCCACGGGTTAGGTTAGTTAAGACACTTTCTGGACCAAGCGAAGCGGCTAGGACAGGCTAGGGGGCCGAGTGCTACGGCCACGGGTTAGGTTAAGTTAAGACACTTTCTGTAAGATCCATGTACAAAATTGATAGGAGGGGGGCCTGGGGGGGGGTCCAAAAATCGTTCTCTAGGAATATACCAAACTACCAGAACATTTATTAATTATATTACCGTCATCTGAAGACTCTGAAGAAGATTGAGTATTCCTGCTTGTTGTTTCTTCAAGGCGGGGAATATCTTCCTGTTCTGTGAGTTTAGTATTTACTTGGGACATTACTTAAACTATTCCATTTAACATTTCTATTTCTGATATATAAACTAATCAAATATCAGTTCTGTCATGTTTGGTCTTTACAAATGTTAGAGGTTGAAAAGTACGTTAATGGGTAGTACTTAAAGCAACCACTAGAAGCCTTAATGTACGCAACAAACTGGCCTGAATGTCTTGAAAGTGCGTACTTTTTGATCTTTTGCAATTACGCTTATTTTGTAAGATTAAATTGATACGGGGCATTCGAGCGGGAAATTATGAAATAAAAGACGACATTAATTATTATCATTAATTTGTACCCATAAATAGTATATAGTAACAGCAAATGTAAATGGATTAGGTGATAAAAGCAAAAGAAATCAATTCTTTGATCATATCTCTAAAAGTAAACCTGATATTTTATGCCTGACTGACACTAGATTTAGTGAACAAATTCATACTCTTATCAAAAATGAAATCAATTATTTTTGTCATTTCAACAGTCTTACTTCTAACTCTAGGGGAGTTGCAATTTTAATTAATAAAAAATGCTGTATAAAGGTGAATGTCGACACTAGTGATAATGAGGGTAACCTTTTATGGCTCAAATGTGAATTTGATAGTCAAGTTTTTTTACTAGGTGTACTGTATGGACCTAATGAAGACAGTCCCGAATTTTATGAGCAAATTTTTGATCATTATCAGAATTCAGGAATTACTAACTGTATATTAACCGGAGACTTTAATGTGACTCTTAATCATGATGTTGATAATTATGGATATATAGGCCCAAGGAATCCTAGGGCAAGAAGAGCTCTGAATAATTTAATTGAAAATTACGGTTTTATTGATGCGTTCAGGACGCTGAACCCGAATAAAAAACTTTTTACTTGGGTTCGCAAAGGGGGACCTCAAAGGGCAAGACTTGACATGTTTCTCTTAACTGAATCGATGCGACCCTTTATTCATACTCAGTCTGTATTTCCTGCATTCATGTCTGATCATTCTCCAATTGTTCTTAAAATAGACTTCTCACAATTTACACGTGGGAAGGGAGTATGGAAGCATAATTCGGAGCTCTTAAAAGATGTAGACTATTTAAATACTATTAATTATACAATTAAGAAATGCTTTGCCAAGTATGTAATCCATCCGTCCCATGATAATTTTTTTCAAAATGCTTCTGATGATGACTTTTTGCAGTTTATGAACTTAGACATATCAGAGATAGAGCAAATGGAATTTAATGTTGACCCTCATATACTGTTAGATATGATCTTAAATGATATCAGAAATGAAACAATTACATATAGTGCAGCAAAAAGACGTTTTAACAGAACAATTGAGATTGATCTTCTAAACAAACTTCAACTTATTCAAAATAAAATTACTTCTGGCGAAACATACCCAACCATTTTTGATGAGCTTGAACTTGCTGAGAGACAATATAGTGAGTTTAGAGAACTTCATAATAGATCTAGTTATTTTAACAGTAGACTTTTAAGCAAAATCGAGGGTGAAAAGCCTACTAAGTACTTTCTCAATATTGAAAAAAATCTTTCGTCACAGAAGTACATTTCAGTACTCACTGTTAAAGATGCAGAGGGAAGGGAAATGAATATTAACAGTCAGACTGCAATTGAACAAGAGATCCAGAAATATTATAAAGATCTTTATAGTAACAAAGATGAGCATATTTCATTGGAAATTAATGAATTTTTAAATAATGAACATATACGCCCAAATTTAACTGATGAGCAGATCTATAATCTAGAGCAGGACATTACTTTACAGGAACTTACAGATGCTCTCAAAAAAACTAAAAATGGGTCCACTCCTGGTTTCTCTGGCTTCACTTATGCCTTTTATAAATGCTTTTGGAGATATTTGGGGAGAACTATACTAAATGCCATGAAATATAGCTTTATAATTAACAAATTGCCAAGTTCCCAGACCATAGGAATTATCTCTCTTTTACCCAAAGGTGAAAAGCCTAAACAGTTTTTGGAAAATTGGAGACCGATCACACTCCAGAACAGCATATATAAACTTATAAGCTCAGTTATTGCTAACAGGATTAATTTTGTCTTACCAACAATAATTCATAGTGATCAGTCTGGTTTTGTAAATGGGAGATACATAGGGGA